CAATGGGATTACAAAATGTAGCCTTAAATACCTGAATTGGTCGCAGTTCTCCAAATCAGATATTCTTCCATCTTATTTTGGTGTAAAATTGACAATTTGGTTTGACACATTAATGGGTCTTTACGCTCTGACTCCTGCATGGCCCACCAACAAGCCAGGATTTATGTATTTCCCCTTTTTATTCCAATGGAGATACTGACAAAATCTGGACTGATGGTGGGTCTTGAGGACTGGTCTGGGAAACACGCTGTCAAACTATTCATGATTTGTAAGCACGATTCTGGTCATATTAGTGCAAAGTGTAAAATATAAAACAGTCAACAGAAAGCTTTCTTCCCTATGGAACATGTTTTTTGTAGAATGTGATTAAGAAACTGATCACTTGGCCCCAAATTGATTCCTGTTTTATAAGGTTATACCGTCATTGCTGGAGCCCTCTTTGACCATTTTTTGAGCTATCCTTTGTCAATGCATACAGTAGTGCAAAGGGCAACATTCAATTATTTCTGAATATTGTCATCTCAGTATGGAACACAGTATATTCTTTATTCATGAGACGACTAGGCGATGGGTATATATAGTGAGTCCAGCCTCCGCTCTTTCTGCTGTCTGTGGATAATACATTTTCCTTATTTCCAGACGAGAGTTGAAAGATGAACTGTGGACACCTCCGCCAGGATACGTCTTCTCTACGTTAAAGATTGTCGCTTAAATTTTTTGACAAGTCTCTGACTTTTCCAGTTGTACTCTTCTTTTCCCTTATTTTGTTAGTGATATATTCACTAATCTTTGGCTTGCGAGGTAACACCTCTTCAATAGTACACTCGATCCCCCATATCTCCATCACGATATTCTTAACGTGGAAATTGTGTCAGAACCTTCTTCTCAATAACATGGGAGTCCTGTAAACAAAAGGCGTACCTTTTCTGATACAATGTGTAAAAAAAATACAAAGCTGTAAAAATTCATCTACAAAAAAAATTAATTGACAAATGTTTGTAAGAAGAGGTGACCTCTTTTTTGACACTGCAGGCAACCAGGCCTGCACATGATAGAGTCTGAGTCTTATACAACAAATTCAGGAACATCATCGTGAGGGAGGTCCAGAGAGAAGTATTTGCTGGCTTTCTTGGTGGAAATCGGTTCCTGAATGTTAATACATTGTTGGGCCAGGCAGCCATTACAATAACGTCCTCTGTCACCTACATCATGACCACAGCCAAACGTGTAGCTCTGGGCAGTGTCTTGACAAAGGCCGGCTATCTGCAAGAAGTCCTTTTGATACAAACGGATGTCGTCCAGACTCAAACTGTGACGGTCCGTGGAAGTCTTTGGTTTCCTGCTTGCAGTCTGTAATATAATTTAGCAAAAAGATATGATCAACAAGAAATGTCAAATAAGATGAAGGCATGGAGACAAATTTTAACATGATCTGGAAGTATCATAAAAATGTAGTTAACTTTATATGTAAATCTCTTTGAAATGTTTACATGACACTTCTATAGAAAAACCATGATGAAAACACTGCGGGTCAGTTAATTCTGATGGAAGATAGACACAGAATTAATTCTTTCATCATAGTAACTAAGACGAATATGAATCTGTGGGTTAATGTGTGTGGCTTTTGGTGGGTCTGCAGTTCCGGGTAATGTCCATCAGAGGTCATCTATCTCGTATCTATTGTATAGTTACAAACCCCATGATTCTCAGCTGACATTGGAATGAGCATGGAAATGATGGTGGCTAATGTCGAATACCTTGCGATATCTGTAGTATCTCTACACACTTATTTAAATGGTGGATTCTGACCGGGCTTTACAGAGGATGGATTCGATTGCCATTGTGGATACGAATGGGGTTGGTACAATCTAAGGGTGTGTATCTTTAAGGTTTGATTATCCAGTGTCGTCAGATGTGTCAATGATCTCTGTAAGATCCATTCACTAACAATTTGTCCAGAATTCAGTGAAAATCTAGTTTTGTTATAATTATAAGAAGCATACTGTGAAGTGGAAACCACATTAGGTTTAACACATTCTTTGATGGATAATTTTTTAAATAAAATCTGCAAATTAATCATGACCATGAAGTAGATCTTGGAATTTGCAGAGTAAATCCAATGTTTATGGAGAGGAAAAACAAACTGCTCTCCATTCACGTGAAGATCCGGGTGCTAAACTGGACCACGGGCCAGCACCAGCCCCAGGGAGTAGATTTCAGTGGTAGAGAGAGGATCCAGGCACTCCAAGTATCTTCAATTGTATTTATTTGGATAAGTGAGAAACCACAACGTCGCGACCCCTAAAAAAGGGTCTTTGTCAAGATTGACAGTGTCTCACTTATCCAAATAAATACAATTCAAGATACTTGGAGTACCTGGATCCTCTTTCTACCATGCAGTATACAATAACATTAATCTAGCAATCATATCATAATGTCCAGATTTTCACTGGAGTCTTACCTGTGGAAGAGAATCAATGCTTTGTCCTCGAAGTTTTACAACAGTTTCCGAAGAGCTAGAAGTTGAGGAGTTTATTTCTTTTACAACCAGCCCTTAAAAACAAAGACACAATAAACTGTGATATTCTAATTACAGTTATAGAAGCCAGTGAATGCTAAATTCTAACACTCTGTGAAATTCTGAATACTAGTAATAAACCTTGAGATATTATTCTTCATTAAGTTTTATTTTATAAGCCTTGTAATGTAACCATAAAAATAACAATTTTCCTATGAATCATTAGTGACTCTCTGTTGGAAGAACAGAACATATATTAAAAGAGTGTGATAAATCCACGAGGAGGAATAATCGTCCCAACCAAAACCCAAATTACACAACATAGGGCACATCAATGCACAAAGCACGATGACATCTCAAAAGCTCGGAAGTCATCTATACTAAAATGGAAATGTTGCTAAACCCATTTTAGTTCACGTGCAAGCGTTAATAACCAAAGATGTGAAAAACGGGCGCATTTTTTGACTCTTTTCATGAAATCCAAAAGGTAATTTAGTGAGAAGGTGAGGGTGTATCGGTGCTAAAGCATCAATTGTCCCCCAATCTTTGGCTCACTGCTGCTCACCATCTTGGCGCCAGTCTTCATCATTGCCATCACCATCACATGCTGCCATCGCCATGTTATATCTGGGGCTTGGAGTTTCCTTTATTTAAGCTATTCTTAAATTATAAAATTACCAAAGACATTTATTTCCCAATCTGTGGGAATTGGTGTTATATCATTTTGTTTTCCAAGACAGACAAATACAAAAATTAGAGGGTTTTTTTCTTCAGAAAGATACCCAATGTCATCCAAAAGGAGGAGTTATCACGAGCATTAATTCAAGAGGACACAAACAGCCTGGCTAAGTATAACACATAGTTATCATTATATCACCACGGGATCAGAGATAATTTAGTATCACAAACTCCATCTTACCCAGCAGTGACATTTTTCCATTTTCCAGTTAAATGTAAACTGTAGATCTCCTTACACTGCATGGATCTATGAATATTTAGGATATGATCCTGTAATATGGTGCCTGGGTGTATTTTCCACATTTTATCTATGATCACGATGCGTGAGAAAACTCTTTGGTTGAGCAATATGTCAGTGCATTAAGATGGTAACTGTTGTTTTTTTTTTTTTGGTATTTACACAAGATTTCTTCTCCCTTGTTCCCTTTAAATCTCTATGCCTCGATTGTGGCTGTGGAGATTATGTGGTGGAATCTCGGTAAAAATAAATTTAGTAGGCCGAGATTACCACGTGGCATGTGTACGTGCATATGCTGACGTATCGATCAGTTGGTTGCACGAGGCAAGATACGATCAGTAGTGTACGGAGCATGTGCAAGAATACAGGATGTAGTATTCCCCTCCTCCATTGTGCTGGACAAGCCATGCGGTCAAGCAGGAAGTTAATTCTTATTTGTAATGATTGGTCAAGAGAATGTGCGGGTGGAGCTTAATATGGGAGGAGTTATGTGCCTATATAGGGAGCCTGCACTATTGTTCAGGGCTCAGAACTTGCTGTATTTTTGGTGACATTAGTCCCTCTGAGTCCCGATCGGTGATCCAATAAAGAATCTCTTCCTTCCTGAAGAAACCTGTGTCCATCCCTCTGTGCTTTGCTTCCGTCAGTTTCTCCGGTATCATTTGGTGCATTGGCCGGGAAGCTCATCGTTCAACGGTAGCTGAGAGGCAGAGGCGTGAGACGGTCTATCTTTGCCCACGTTCTCTACGGCTGCACCCCTGAACTTCTGCGTGGACCTCCCTTCGTCTCGGCGCCACTGGTCTGTTGTCCAGGAGATCATCGGCCTCTACGTAAGAAGTGCTGGGGTGTCCCCGTCGATGAGTGTGAACTCAGGTTCAGGAACGAGGAGGTAAGACAACTGCTGTTTTAGACGGCAGACCCACTAGGGGTATACCGATTGTGCGGTAGGCCCAAAAGGGGTTTAAATCTGTGTATGGAATCTGCCCCCTCTGTCGGAGGGAAGGAGCGAAGGCGCACCGCTCGATCGAACGCTCTTTAGTAAGACCGTTTGATCTGGTTAGTCAGGCGGGGTCCTGTGTAAATAGCCCTAGCCGGACACCGGTGTCTTGTCTAGACTAGCGTTCTAGGGTGTATATTACGTTCGCTAGGTCGGAGGGACCGGGAGACTAAGCGGCGCCTGTGTAAATTCGGTTCGCTAGCTCTCAACCTATCTTGGCTAAGTGGGAAGGCGTGTAAATTTGGAACCCACTAGACTTTTGATAGAGTAAATAGACTAGAAGGGCAATTTTGTAAATTTCGCCCTCTAGTTCGCTATATGTGGTGTTTGGGCAGTGTGGCTAACCAAAACGGGTGTATATAGTTTTAGGTAGTCCATTCAAGGTACTGGCCAATAGTTTAGTTGGGATTGTAAATGTGTTAAAGATTGTTAGTAAAGTGTATATCTTGTTAGATAGCGCGAGCTCAGCCGTCTAGCGAGAGTGTTAATAGTGTGTTGCTGTATCATAGTGCACGGTACCATAACCCTGTATATTTACTGACACTGTATATAAGTACTAATCATTGTCGTCTATTGCATGTTTAACACCGTAACCACTAATAATTGTATTGTGACCTTAAATTGTGCTTTGACCTATGCTAACCGTACTGTAACCGATACTAGTAAAAGACGATGTTACTGGGGTGTGTTATAGACGGGTAATTCATATATAGAGAATTATAGCGTGGGTGACTGTATAGTTTCGCCAAAGGGCATAATATTGATTATTTAGTGACTGGTGTAACAGCTGTGTGTGTACGGGAATTCCCTGAGTGATTATTGTGTTATTGTGTACGTTTCACTCGGTAACTGTACCACGTGGTGCTGTTGCCAGAGGAAACGGGTGTGACTGTTGAATAAGAACGCGTGCATAGTATTCGTTGTCAACGACGTTCCATTGATAAGTATGGGCGCGTCAGAGTCAACGATTTCGGATCCCTTAGGTTGTATGGTAAAGAATTTTAAAAAGGGATTCAAAACATGTGATTTTGGGGTTAAAATGTCTCCTGTACGTTTGGTCACTTTGTGCACTAGGGAGTGGCCTATTTTGGTTGCGGCATGGCCGCCGCGTGGCAGTTTGGATCCAACCCTGGTACAGCGTGTACACGTGGCTGTGTCAGGTAGGCCTGAACTTTACGGACAGTTTCCATACATTGATTGTTGGGGGCAGGCCGTAAACGACTCGCCAAAATGGATCCGGATATGCCACGAGGAGCAATGTCGCCTCATGGTGGCCAGGACTTGTTTGTCCACTAGGACTGGTGTTAGGCCCATTTTGGACACGCCCCCTGAGTCCGAGATCCCTTTGCCGCCTCCTTACTTTCCTTTAAGAGGAAGTGACGCGAATGCAGGAAGCTCTGCACCCCTTCCCCTATTGCCCCCATCCACTTCCGCTTCCTCCTCCAGTACAGAATCCACCCCCCCTCGTATTAAAACTCCCCTTCCGGAACCAGGACCAACCCCCATTAGATTTGAATATCCTGATTTGGCGCCACTTCAAACTTCCGGTCAAGCTTCTTCTAGCTCGGCTCGGAGTATACTATTCACTAACTTTTCCCAAAATCAAGTTCCCACATCCTCATGCCCTATTACCTCTCGACCGGAACCTTTAACTGACGCCCCTCCACGTAGCCCCATACTAACCCGACAACTGACCGGTACCCAACAATTAAAACATTATCAGATGCCTCTTCGTCTGAATCCTGGGTCAGCCTATATCGATGCCGCAGGTCAAATGGCACATGCTGACCCAGTCTTCGTATATGTCCCGTTCACGACTACCGATCTCTTGAATTGGAAGACCCACAATTCCTCGTACACTGAGAAACCACAAGCTATGACCGATCTGTTCACCTCGATAGTTCAGACACATAACCCGACATGGGCTGATTGCCAGCAGTTATTAATGACATTGTTCAATAATGAGGAAAGGACAAGGATTAACCAAGCGGCCATTAAGGCGCTAGAGGAGAGAGCCCGTGCTTTAAATCAAGCCAATCCGGCAGCATGGGCCGCAACACATTACCCTAACACCGATCCTGACTGGAATGTAAATGGCGCAGATATGGCTCAACTTAAAGCCTATAGAGATGCTATAATTGCTGGCATGAAAGCCGGAGGGAAGAAAGCTATTAACATGTCGAAGACAGTTGAGGTGATTCAGAAAAGTGATGAAGCGCCCAGTGTCTTTTATGACCGATTATTGGAGGCATACCGCTTGTATACCCCCTTTAATCCGGAAGACGCTGATAATTCCCGAATGGTAAACTCCGCCTTTGTCAGCCAAGCTTACGGAGATATTAAGCGCAAGCTACAGAAATTAGAAGGGTTTGCAGGTATGTCTATCACCCAACTAATGGAGGTAGCGAACAAAGTATATATGAATAGGGAAACAGAAAGTAAGAAAGAGGAAGAGCGCAAGATGCGTAGAAAGGCAGATATGCTAGCGGTAGCGATCGCAGGCGTAGATAGACGGGGCCCAGATAGAGGCGATGGTAGATGGAATAGGGAGCCTTTGAGTAGGAATCAGTGCGCGTACTGTAAGGAAGAAGGGCATTGGAGGAACGAGTGTCCGCAAAGAGAGCAGTATGAGAGAGACTTACCCAGGGCAGGTTACGGAAACTTTAGAGGCAGAGCGAGAGGTAGAGGAGGCCCCGGAGGGAGTAATGGTAATAGAGGGAGTAATGGGAACAGAGGAAGTGTAAGGGAAGATAGGTACTATCCAGCAGCGCAAAGGTCCCGCGATAGAGAAGGTAGGGACTTTGTGGGATTGGCTGACACGGTCATGGAGGACTATTGATACCGACCGGGCTCCATCCCCCTTGGTCGAGCGGAGCCTATGGTCGATGTATCAATAGGGGGAAAAAGGAGTGCGTTTATGATCGACACTGGTGCTGAACATTCGGTGGTGACTAATCAAGTTGCTCCTCCATCTGGAAGAACTATTACTGTAATAGGAGCAACTGGAAGAAGTGCTGAAAAACCGGTTCTTAAAAGTCGACTCTGTACATTGGGAGGCCACGTAGTAAAACATCAATTCCTTTATATGCCTGAGTGTCCAGTCCAATTGCTGGGACGTGATATGCTATCCAAATTACAAGCGCAGATTACGTTCCTACCAAATGGAACAACATCCTTAAAGTTTAATGGACCCTCAGGTATTATGACATTGTCCGTACCAAAGGAAGAAGAGTGGCGACTTTATACAGTGTTGACTAGCCAAAACCCGAGGAGTGATGAATCCTTATTTAACATACCAGGAGTTTGGGCAGAGAACAACCCACCAGGACTGGCCCGCAATATTCCACCTATTAAAATCGAACTAAAACTTGGGGTTTATCCAGTAAGCCTGAGACAATATCATATTCCGCAGAAGGCTAAGAAGAACATCCAATCTTATCTGGATAAGTTCATACGGTATGGTATCCTAAAATTCTGTACTTCCCCCTGGAACACCCCATTGCTGCCTGTTCAAAAGCCCGGTACAGATGAGTATCGACCTGTGCAGGACTTGAGAGCAGTCAATGATGCGGTTGTTAGTATACATCCAGTCGTGCCCAATCCATATAACCTGCTTGCTTTAATTCCGGGCGGGGCTACTTACTTTACAGTCTTAGATCTCAAAGATGCCTTCTTTTGCCTCCGAATTGCCGCAGAAAGCCAATGTATCTTCGCTTTCCAATGGGAAAATGCTGTAACGGGCTCGAAACGCCAAATGACCTGGACAAGATTGCCCCAGGGGTTTAAAAATTCACCTACCCTATTTGGTTCAGCTCTAAGTCAAGATCTACTAGATTTCGAGTCTATCCCAGGAGAGTGTGTATTATTACAATATGTAGATGACTTGTTGATAGCAGCAGTTACAAAGGAAGTATGTCAGCAAGCAACGCACGATCTACTACACATTCTCTGGAAGGCAGGATACAAGGTGTCAAGAAGGAAGGCTCAGTTGTGTTTGCCAACTGTCAAATATCTGGGATTCCATATCTCTGAAGGTCAAAGAATTATGGGGCCAGAGAGAAAAGAAGCTGTGTGCCAAATACCGATACCCAGGAATAGAAGACAAGTGCGAGAATTCTTGGGGGCAGCAGGCTTCTGTAGGATATGGATTCCCAGCTACGCGATACTGGCAAAACCTCTGTATGCAGCTATCAAAGGTACAGAGCACGACCCCTTCTTATGGACTCAAGAACAGCAAACGGCATTCGAAGATGTGAAGAGGGCTTTGATGAGTGCCCCAGCATTAGGTCTACCTGACCACACACGGCCATTCTACCTGTATGTACATGAGCAAAGAAGAATGGCTGTGGGAGTATTGACACAGTACTTGGGATCATGGCAAAGACCTGTTGCCTACATGTCTAAGCAACTGGATGCAGTGGCCAGCGGACTTCCACCTTGTCTAAGAGCTGTAGCTGCAGCCGCCCTGCTAGTAGCTGAAGCCGATAAACTCACTCTGGGTCAAGAACTTTATGTACGAGTTCCACATGCAGTACAGACGTTGTTGGATTACAAAGGAAATCATTGGTTTAGTAACAGCCGTATGACCAAGTATCAAGCAATGTTGTGTGAAAACCCAAGAGTGCATTTAGAGACTGTAAATACCTTAAATCCAGCTACCCTTTTGCCACAACCTACTGAAAGTCAACATGATTGTTTGGAAGTAATGGATGAAGTATTTTCAAGTAGACCAGATCTTCGTGATTTTCCCATCCAGAACCCTGATGTTCAATATTACACCGACGGCAGTAGTTATGTAAAAGAAGGGATCCGCTATGCAGGATATGCAGTAACAACGATAGACAAGGTGATAGAAGCTCGGCCACTGGCAAAAGGAACATCAGCACAAAAGGCAGAATTGATAGCACTGACACGAGCGTTACAATTGGCTGAAGGTTTAAGAGTGAACATCTACACGGACTCCAAGTATGCGTTTTTAACCACTCATGCCCACGGAGCTTTGTATAAAGAAAGAGGACTATTGAATTCAGAAGGCAAAGAAATCAAATACGCAGCTGAGATCCTACAACTATTGGAAGCAGTGTGGGAGCCGAAAGAAGTCGGTATTATACATTGTCGGGCGCATCTGAGAGGAGATGGTGATGTAACCAAAGGGAATCGGATGGCAGATAGTGCAGCTAAGCGTGCTGCTGAATCAGGAAGACAGGAATATGTGGGGCATATAGCTGCTCTTATACCAACTCCACTGTCTCAATGGACTCCAATTTATACAGCTCAAGAAGAGGAGTGGTTAAGGACTGAACCTGGAAAGTATTTGGAGAACAAATGGTATCAGTTAGAAGATGGAAGAATAGTTATTCCAGCATCACTAGCGGTAGAAATTGTCCAAAACTATCATAACGGGACACATTCTGGGAGAGACAGTACAGAAGAATCTCTCAGAAAACATTTCTACATACCAAGATTGTCCAACTTGACTCAGGCCATTGTACGTAGATGTGTAACGTGTGCTAAAAATAATGCAAGACAAGGACCAGTAAAGCCACCAGGAGTCCAGTTTATGGGGGGACTTCCCATGTCCGATTTACAAATTGACTATACAGTGATGCCTAAATCGGGTGGACATCGCTACCTGCTGGTAGTGGTGTGCACCTATTCAGGCTGGGTAGAAGCATGTCCTACTCGTACAGAGAAAGCAGGAGAAGTCGTGAGATTCCTGCTACGAGAAATAATACCCCGATATGGACTACCCTGCTCTATAGGATCGGACAATGGTCCAGCTTTTGTTCATCAGTGCCTACAACAATTGACTCATATGCTTGGTATAAAGTGGAGGCTTCATACGGCATATAGACCCCAGAGTTCTGGTAAGGTAGAGAGAATGAATAGAACTATTAAGAATCAGTTGGCTAAAATGTGTCAGGAAACCCAACTTAAGTGGAACGTTCTCTTGCCCATAGCTCTATTGCGAATCCGTAGTACACCTACCAGAAGGATGGGCCTCTCTCCTTTTGAAATCATGTACGGGCGACCACCTCCCGTGCTTGGTAACTTAAGGGGGGATTTGAGTCAGTTGGGAGAAGGAATTACCCGGCAGCAGGTTGTAGAGTTGGGTAAGACTATGGAGGAGGTACAGAAATGGGTACAAGATAGATTACCTGTGAATATTTATCCCCCAATTCATAGTTACCACCCAGGCGACCAAGTGTGGATTAAAGAGTGGAATAATGTGCCGTTAGGGCCCAAGTGGAGAGGTCCTTATGTTGTTCTTCTGTCTACCCCTACAGCGATAAAAGTAGCCGAAGTGGCTCCGTGGATACATCACTCCAGGGTTAAACCAGCAGCAGCCGATTCCTGGCAAGTTACAGCAAATCCAGAGAATCCCTGCAAGATCCGGTTAAAACGCACGACTCAGTCGGAGTGACGAGGAACCTTGTAGATTACAAATTTTATTGTTTCAGAGACTTGGTAAGTGAGTGAGAAGGCCATAATAAAGCCTGTCCACTCACCAACGAGTGTATAAGTCAGGGAAAGTCTTGAGGGACCCCTGTGAAGACGAGCAGAACTCCATTCCCTGCAGCCCTTACATCCTGGAAGCTGAGGTGCCTTCGCACGGACGAAGACTGAGGATGACGACGAAAGATGTATTTTTAATAATGTTTATTTATGTGTATTTTTATATTCAGGAAGGTAGAGGTACCAACACTCCTAGCTGTGAGGTATGCATTAAGACTACAAGAACAGGTAACCATATATCCCAGACCCTAATTTGGCATTCGCAATATGAGTGTAAAGGAGATGTATCAAGATGTAGATACTTAAATATAGAATATAGTGTGTGTCATTTAGGAGTAGGAGAACCTAAGTGCTTCAGTCCTGAGTATCAACCCCGTACAATTTGGTTGACTCTCAGAAATGGAGATTCTCAGGGGACCCTAATTAATAAGACGGTATTAAAATCCGTATATTCTTCAGGTGCTCTGCTATTTGATGCGTGTAAAGCAATATCAAGTGGTAGAAAGCCGTGGAATGTATGTGGGGATCTTAGATGGGAGAGGACGTATGGGTCTAACGATAAATATATTTGTCCCAGTAGTAAAAATAAATATGTAAGTCCAAGATGCCCAAATAGAGATTATAACTTCTGCCCATATTGGTCTTGTGTGGGGTGGGCGACTTGGGGACAGACAGCAGACAAGGACATGATTGTGACTAAGTTGCCTACTAATCCATATTGTAAGTCTATGGAATGCAATCCAATCCATATACTTATAAATAACCCTGACAAGTTCTTAGATAAATATGGTAATTTATTTGGGTTTCAAATATATGGGACGGGTTTAGACCCTGGGACAATATTGTTTATAGGGATAGAGACTGATACGGTAACCTCCCAAACTCATCAAGTATACCATTCCTTTTATGAAGAGATGAGCATAGATAATAAGATCCCCCATAATGCTAAAAACTTGTTCATTGATTTAGCCGAGAGTATTGCCGGTAGTCTTAATGTTACCAACTGCTATGTGTGTGGAGGTACTAACATGGGAGACCAATGGCCTTGGGAAGCAAAGGAGGTAATGTCCGGTTCTGAGGCAGTTGACCAATTAATATCTACACAAGCCGACTATCATATGAGTGTTAGAGGTAAATCTGAGTGGAGATTGAAGACCTCCATCATAGGTTATGTTTGCATAGCGAGGAAAGGAATGATGTATAATACTTCTGTAGGAGAATTAACTTGTCTAGGGCAAAAAGCTTATGATGATGATACAAAGAATACAACTTGGTGGTCGGCTTCAAATGTCTCAGAACCATCTAACCCGTTTGCAAGATATGCCAATTTAAAGGACGTATGGTTTGATCTATCCATCACATCTAACTGGAGAGCCCCAGCGAATTTGTACTGGATCTGTGGTAAGAAGGCCTATTCGGAGTTACCACAGGACTGGGAAGGGGCATGTGTGTTGGGTATGTTAAAACCATCCTTCTTCTTGTTGCCTATTGAAACAGGTGAGACTTTAGGTGTTAAAGTGTATGATGTGAATCATAGGAAGAAAAGGGGACCCATAGAGATAGGTGCCTGGGAAGATAATGAATGGCCTCCCCAGCGTATTATAGATTATTATGGGCCAGCCACGTGGGCAGAGGATGGTACCTTTGGTTATAGAACCCCTATTTATATGCTCAACCGCATTATAAGGTTACAGGCGGTGGTTGAGATCATTACTAACGAGACATCACAAGCGCTCAATCTTCTAGCGAAGCATAATACCAGGATGAGGACAGCAGTTTACCAAAATAGATTAGCCTTGGATTATCTTTTGGCAGTAGAGGGAGGTGTATGTGGGAAGTTTAACCTGAGCAATTGCTGTCTTCAAATAGATGACGAAGGGCAAGCAATAGCTGAGCTTACTAGCCATATGGTTAAACTAGCGCATGTGCCTACTCAGGTATGGAAAGGGTACAATCCAAGTAGTTGGTTTGGTAGCTGGTATGAGTGGTTTGGAGGGCTTAAGGCAGTGGTAGGTGGAGTCCTACTGATTTTAATGTTGTGTCTACTCCTGCCGTGTCTTATACCCTTAGTAGTTAGGTCTGTGCAAAGCCTGATAGAAAATATAGCAGAGAGGAAGGCTGCTGCACAGATAATGGCAATTTATAAATATAAGGCTCTAGATCAGGGAGAACCAATGCAGGAAGACGAGTGTTGAAGATTCACATCGTAGGATAAGTCTGGTCTGGTTCAAAGGTAACTTGTGGTGTATGCAAACCAAGGTTAAGTGATGCCTCAAGTAATTGTAAAATATCAAGAGGCATCAAAGGGGGGAATGTGGTGGAATCTCGGTAAAAATAAATTTAGTAGGCCGAGATTACCACGTGGCATGTGTACGTGCATATGCTGACGTATCGATCAGTTGGTTGCACGAGGCAAGATACGATCAGTAGTGTACGGAGCATGTGCAAGAATACAGGATGTAGTATTCCCCTCCTCCATTGTGCTGGACAAGCCATGCGGTCAAGCAGGAAGTTAATTCTTATTTGTAATGATTGGTCAAGAGAATGTGCGGGTGGAGCTTAATATGGGAGGAGTTATGTGCCTATATAGGGAGCCTGCACTATTGTTCAGGGCTCAGAACTTGCTGTATTTTTGGTGACATTAGTCCCTCTGAGTCCCGATCGGTGATCCAATAAAGAATCTCTTCCTTCCTGAAGAAACCTGTGTCCATCCCTCTGTGCTTTGCTTCCGTCAGTTTCTCCGGTATCAATTAAAACACATAGGTTTGATATAATATTCATCGATTATTAGAGTCTGCTCACGTCTGAGGGCACATAACTACAGTTCCATGTTTAAATACCTATTAGACCAAGCCTGGCATGAGCCAGGTACATCCGCCTTCACAACTCACCTGAACGACCATTTATCTGCTGGGAGAGAAGCATGTCCTCCGTGATGTAGATACACAGTTCAGGACTGACATCCACAGGGAGATCAAGGTCCTTTGGGTCGTCAACCAGCATTTCTATCTCTGTAAGGAATCAGGAGGAGTAAGGGTTAAATATTATAAATGAACTTTGCAGTACGATAATGAATGCTACATTTCATCAATTTATTTTCTTAACGGTGCCACGGCTCGATAAATGTTTTGCACGAGCCATTTAGATCCAGCGGTGTTTTGGCTAGAAAAATCATAGCTAAATTGTCAAGTTACAGTTTGTGAACTTGTCTAGGTAGAAAGCATAATTAATTTAATATAAGACATAGGACAGTTGGTCCCAGTGCAAAAAGATTTGCAAGAATTTAGGAAAACCTCCAGCCTGATTGGTATTGGGTGTTTAGGTTCACTATTAGGGACCAATTTAAAGACAGGGCCCGCACAAGTAATTTCCTTGTTATCTGCCAAATTTATTTATGGCTTCATTATGTCCTCAGTCCATGTAATGAAGGTCTCCAAGCACTGGAGTACAGCATGATACAGGCCTGCAGCCCTCTGGTGCAGCCAGATAGCGGTACAGACTGGGTTTTTTGCCTTCTTTTGGATCAACAGCAAAAACATATGTGAGGAAGGCTGAACTTGGTGGACGCAAGTCTCTTTTCAGCTAACTCTTTTCATGTAACTATGTATCTATAATGGTAAAACCTTCTGGCAGTGTCGAATTAACAAAGTGAGTCTGTGCACAAGTATTTTGGATAGATAACCTTCTCCATAGTGCCAAACAGGGCACTTTACCCCAGGAAGCTCCAATGGGTCAGAGTATCCGTTTAATAAAACAAAGGATAGGTGAAATGTATAGAGATGGAGGATCATGCAACCAGTTAAATTACCATCATCCTGTGAATCATCGTCCAGCCTATCCTTGCCGGCGCTCTCTGCCCCGGAGGTGTGGGAGCTGCTATGGCTGGTCATTGAACTACATGTATGCAGCTTCCAGTGAAGTGACGACCCAGAGAAGCTGTCTTCTGGTCCGATGTCCCGGTGTTTGGTATCGGCCTCTATCCCAGAAGTGTGTGAACTGCTGTGACTTGCTGTGGAATGCCTCGAGAGACGTTTGTGTTTGACGCTGCCTGCACTGCTGCCACTTGCCCGGGACCTTTTCTCCAGCTGGTCCATATCCTGGTCCAACGTGTCACTGATATACGACTCACGATACTGCTTCTTCTCTGAAAACAGAAAGACAACATTACATCACACGTTAAACAGAACCTCAAACCCTTATAGATTGTAAGCACACCTGATCAGGCCCTCTAAATGCTCTTTTTGTATAATTCTTCAGAGCTGCACAATTTGTTATCACTACATAAATGCTTATAATAAGAAGGACAATCACCATCCAATACAATCTGGTGTGACCTTGGAACTAATACAGGAGAAGGTTGCGGACACGGGTTCAATACAATATAGTTGTATTGTGATGTATGCCTATCACAAACTGACTTGGGTTAGAACATTTATAATAAGCCATGATGTACCTTCGTTTTCCTCCAGCGTCCTGACTTGTCGCAGTACCGGCTGCAGGTTCATGAAGAGACGGTGGCTGTTGCTGAGGAGCTGAAGGAGATGGCGAGATCGCGACGAGCAGCCGGTATAGTAAATTAACTTCCTGGCTGATGGTAAGCCGTCTGGTAAAATCTCAAACTTTTTACCCTGAGGTAGAAAGATAAATAGAAATAATGCAATGTACATATTACGATTACTCCAGCTATTAAACTCTGTAATGGGAATGTGTTAACAATGAAACACGAAATGAAAATAGAATTATTTTATCTCCTGCTGTTATTAAAACAGATAATACCAGTGATGTTACCGGACTGTCTAAGTATGATGGGAATTGGAGATCACCTAGATCTGGGATGACATGTAGTTAAGAAGATATTAACAGAACGTGTGTATACTGAGAGACTCTTACATTGTCCAGCTATTGTTCCATTATACATCAATCACCCTGAGCTAGCCATGTGAATGAACAGCCTGATACGAGGGACAGTCCAAGTATAACGAGACAGACAAAATACAATATACCACAAACAGAAATATTCAATTTTCAACCAACTATTTTGGATTTTTTTAGGTCAATTCTCTACCGTTCTCAATTCAGTCAATGAACCCCAGTGGGTCAGTAACAATAATAATAATAAAAATAAAATCTTTATATTTTTAAAAATCTAAGCCAAAAATTCTCATCCTATTTCAAAGTGAAAGTCGTATTTGCAAATTTTAGGCAGACTAAGACAAATTGTCAAAATGAACTGTTTAGTGAATAAATGTTACAGATACATATTTAGAAGACATGAGTCTGTATTGGCTGACGGACGCCATGATAGATATATTATGTTTCAGATTCGAATACCTCCAACACATCTAACGACCAGCGTGGGTAATCTGGGTTTACATAACAAAATACGAAGCAGATGAAATAAGGTTGTGATGTAGAGAAGTTAGGTTGCCAAAATGTCATAGACAAGACTTCAAAATCATATCCTTGAGCGAGTCCCCAGTTTTATCTTGTTTTGCACTTTTAAGAGCAGAATGGCCAGCAGAGGTGCTAGAAGGGCTGCGTAAACCAGGACTAAATATGTCCATCCGCCCACTAGCCATTTGTGAGTAAACGTTCAGCTCTAGTTCACCCGCATTGAGTATGCCATGGATCCTGAAGCCCTCAAGGTTTGCTGTAACAAGTAACTTTTAGGCCTGGCTAGTAATGTACAAATTTAAATTAAGAGCCCTGCGCATAAACTATTTCCCATGATGCTTAGCCAGCGCTCCTGGCCTGTACAATATACATTAAGAGTTCCATCCTCTGTAATTCCAATATCCAGAACCCAATCCATCCCCTCGAGACAGTGCGGTCAAGAAGACGAGATATGTAGACATCGACCTCAGACTCATGGAGCCGGCGATGATATAGATCTGTTTAATTAACAGTAACGTGGATCTATCACAGAATTAAAACTCCCATAACCCCCAGCCTGCTGGGGCCTACCACTGATTTATAAAGTTATAACATAAAACGTATAAAGAATATTTGGGTTTCCAGATCACATCATAACCCTTTCTGTCATTTGTAAATTCCGACCATTAACCTGTGATTTATTTATTTTGTAACTTTGAGCCACTTACCACAAATATCAACTTCCCTACATTTGTCCAAGGAAAGTCAAAAAGCAGCTGTTTTTCTTCTCCTGTACGCTGTAAAAAACAAAAAAAACAACGTAAATAACATGAGCCACAGAATGTGAATCAGAGCTCTCTGAGGAATTTCATCCAATCAGATTTTTGGGTCTCCAGGATACATCCAATCAAAGTACCAGAAACACTGAAAATGCTAATAGACTCTAGTAATCGCTTCCTTCGAGGCCAGTCCCTCAAACACTGCTCCCCCTCCAAATCATCATGGACCCCCAGCTCGCCTCCTTTATCTCGCTCACTGTTCTCCACATCCTGGCTTTGACTGTTGTAGCTTTCAATTTTTGTTGCCATTGAATCAAACTCCCGACCCAAAATGTACACGGAATCTGTATTATCTTTGCTCCTCTCTCCAAATACTCTCCCCACCCACCCTCCTTGTTCTGCAGTCCATCGTCTTCTCTCATAATTTCCATTGACTCCCGTCTCCAGGGCGTCTCCCGTATTGTATTTATCCTGAGGAATCCCTACATCACTCTGCCAGACTCTTCTCCTCAGCTCTAAATATTTCCTAAAAACTTTTTCACAGAATCTTCAATAATAACCGCCCATACTAATTCCAAAATAATGACCATTTCCTTCACTTGTCTCCCACTGCGACCATCCCATGTCTCCAAGGAATCTCCTTGTGTTATCTGATCTTCCTTCACTGTAGTCCTACACCCTTTCCTCGTCTATCGTTCAGTGTAGATCATGCAGTGTAAGCTCACACAAGCAGCACTCTCTGCCCATAGTACCGGACAGTATCGATGTATTTTATACGGTCATACTCGCACATTTGCCTGTCATTAAAATGTTGGGTAATACAACATTAAATTAACACCAGCCGCTTCCTGGTTTAGCGAGAGGCAGCGTCACAAGCTTGGGGACTCGCAGAAGATAACGTGACCTTTAAATGTACTTTATGTATTTTAAATCTGTTAATTCATTTTAAAAAATGGTGAAATTCTGCCCAGAGTGTACCTTCGAAGACGTGTTTAATATTTTTATGGTCTTTTTTTTTTTAGTGACCCAAAGTGATTCCAAACGGAAACTATCCTGCAAGAGGAGGATTGTGGCTGGACTCGACATTGTACACAGATTATATACAGAAGAATTCTTTAATTCATCACAAATTCAGCAATTGCCCCCCCGAAAAAGATTAAATGTAAGAACCTGAAAAATCTGAATTCCTCGTAGCGTTAACCCAAGAATCAAAGAAGCTTCTATCTCTCTTTTATCCTGTGGGAAAAAACAAAACAGGAATTAATACTCTACAACCAGCATTTGTGACTTTCAGATCTTTATAAAAGTACTGCTTAATAATCTAATAAGAGATATTATATCATATTCCAGGGGACATCAAATATCTCTAATTAAATGAGGTCTGCATATTACAGCCCAAGTGTTATGATACATTAGACAGATTATTTAGGAAGTAACATGGGTTGGAGGCAGTGGGACATTCAGAAAACACTTTCAAATACAGTATATGAGCAGGCTATTATGGGCTGTAATAGTTAATGTAAGTGATTATCTACTTGTTAATTAAGAAAGGAAGAAAACTCTGAACTCTATATTATTAACTCAGAAATGACACAATCCAGATAAACTCACACATTCGGAAAACTCCCTGTGATTTGGGCTACAGTTGGTAATAACCCGGCTCACCTTGTACAGTCGGTAATAACGCAGCTCACCTTGTACAGTCGGTAATAACGCAGCTCACCTTGTACAGTCGTAATAACGCGTTTCACCTTGTACAGTTGGTAATAACGCGTTTCACCTTGTACAGTCATTAATAACGCGCCTCACCTTGTACAGTCATTAATAACGCGTCTCACCTTGTACAGTCGGTAATAACCCGGCTCACCTTGTACAGTCGGTAATAACGCAGCTCACCTTGTACAGTCGGTAATAACGCGCCTCACCTTGTACAGTCGGTAATAACGCAGCTCACCTTGTACAGTCGGTAATAACGAAGCTCACCTTGTACAGTCGGTAATAACGCGGCTCACCTTGTACAGTCGGTAATAACGCAGCTCACCTTGTACAGTCGTAATAACGCGTTTCACCTTGTACAGTCGGTAATAACACAGCCCACCTTGTACAGTTGGTAATAACGCAGCTCACCTTGTACAGTCGGTAATAACGCAGCTCACCTTGTACAGTCGGTAATAACGCAGCTCACCTTGTACAGTCGGTAATAACGCGCCTCACCTTGTACAGTCATTAATAACGCGTCTCACCTTGTACAGTCGGTAATAACGCAGCTCACCTTGTACAGTCGGTAATAACGCATCTCACCTCACCTTGTACAGTCGGTAATAACGCGCCTCACCTTGTACAGTTGGTAATAACGCAGCTCACCTTGTACAGTCGGTAATAACGCAGCTCACCTTGTACAGTCGTAATAACGCGTTTCACCTTGTACAGTTGGTAACGCGTTTCACCTTGTACAGTCGGTAATAACGCAGCTCACCTTGTACAGTCGGTAATAACGCGCCTCACCTTGTACAGTCAATAATAACGCAGCTCACCTTGTACAGTCGGTAATAATGAACTGCGACGTCCTCAAGTCTCGCTGCCTCTTTTATATACATAAGATGCGCCTCTGATCCGGTCAGAGCAAATTGATCCCGGTGGATGTTAGGAATGTGCTTTAAGATATAGTCCTTTCCTCGTTTCTTAATGACCTGCAGCAACAAACAACAACACATTTCAGAGCGTCTTTATTACGTAATCTATACATTTATATTGATATGAACAGCCCACTATTATCCAGGGACAGGGCTGTCTATGTGAGTTGGATTACAGTAGCCTGGCAGAGGATTATGGTGACATCTTGTAGAAGCACATGTAAAGTTACACTACAAGAACCATAACCACTATAATCACACTGGAGTGGTTATGGTGCCAGAACTGCCCTGGCATTCTCTCAATGTAAGTAGTCAAACTGTTTGATTGCTCTCAGCCAATGAGATAAACCCTGCACTGCAGGGCTCAGCACTGAGCAGACAGCTACCAGGCCGTGACATAGAGGCCATGACATGCACCCAGCAGACCCCAGATAGCGAGTCAAACGGTTTGCTACTTATATTGGGGGGGAGGGAGGTGTCAGGGCACTTCTGGCACCATACCTCCTACAGTGTGTTGTAGTGGCTATGGTGCTTTGAGTGTTGCTTTAAAATGTCTCTGATAGGGTCGTCACAGAAAAACAAAATCTAAACACAGACAAAAATAATAACTATAAAACGCAGAGCTTTATGACTGTGGATCATAAGGTTTTTGTCATGCTGCCAAGTACATGCTGTTACTTTCGTTTTAGTCACAGGCAGAAACTCTCCAGTGTTAAAGAGACAGGCTCATTTTCTCATTTTCTCACACGTATAGGAAGGGAAGTACAGCTATCAGGGTATAAGGGCAATAGGCATTTTATAATGTAACAAAGTATTGGGGGTTTAGGATATATCTCTACCCCCACCCACCCGAATCCATCCAGTACACAGGGTAAAACAATGAACAATCATTGATAAGGCCCCTTGTTCCAGTGGGACACCAATATATTTATATTAGAAATTGCAGCCGCTGTCAGACGATGACTCCCTGTTGCTATAAAGATGAAAATCTCCTGAATTAGAGTAAATTGAAACCATATTTTATCCAGAGAACAAATTACTATGAGATCAATGGCAGAATTATACATTGTGGCCGAATTACCTGCAGTGTAAAGTATCCCAGCTCTGAGAGCCAGAGAAACCGCTTTTAAATCAATTTTCCATTAAAAAGAAATAAAATGAATAGATGGCGGCGCGATACTGGAGATTCTCGATACGTTAAATCTCATCACATGTAACACACAGAATAACATGCTTTACATGCAGGAGAGGAGGGCGAATCCACCAATAGAAGCTTTAGATACAGAGATAAACATGCAATAATCCATTGTACAGCGCTGCAGTATTTGTTGGAGCTTTATAACTATTAAATAATACTACATGGCAATTAACATTAATGATCAATGCATATTTATTGTAGTGATAATATAAGTTGAACTTTCTTTATAATCTTGCTGTACATCCTTACTTAATATCTCCAGTGCATTCATCCCGAGTGTCCCGATTTACGAGGGACAGTCCCTAGTTTATTTATTACCATTACACATTCAGTGGAGATTTATAAATACATTAGAATTAGAACAGGTGTAAAATGAGATCGTTCAGTGAAAAGTGCTCCAGCTACTGTATCCAACAGGTGAGAAATATTGGGAATTCAAAGTGAATTTCAGGCAAAGGGTAACCAGACAGGAAGCATTGCAGACTTTCCAGTTTGGCTACTTTGCCCTTGAAAGTTAAACTTACTTTGAATTCTAGACAGTTTAGTGAATAACCCTGTTAGCTAATCAGATCATCCAGTCCCTGGGACACACTTGGAAACCAGTGATGAGATAAATGTATCTTTTGTAGGTGAATGCATTCTAACTTTGATCCACTAAACGCTCCCTCACAACCGAGATAGTCCTGGTAACTATGTTACAATAAACAAAATAATCAGCTCATCAAAGTTAGATTTTAAATCTAGTGTTGGAGTGATTATTTATGCAGACGGGGTTTGTTTTATTTAGTTTTGTGATGACGTATTGGGGTCATACGATTCATATTCTGGAAGCTATGTAGACTCCTGTCCTGTTTGTCTTGGCAATATTAAATATGTTCGCGTGAAACATAAACAAAGTTATAAATGTGATGCAGCAAATGGAAAAAGATAAACAAGTAACGTAACGGAGAAATCGTAGTAAAAAGCCTTTTTTCTCTCTGTATCTCTCGCCAGTCTGAAAAATAGCCCACAAAACGTCACTAAGAATAAAACGTTAACACAGACTGGAACAAATAACATGAACGATTTAAAGAAAGCAGCCTTACCCACGGAGGAAAGTACGCCTCAGGCTCAAAATATTTGCCGTAGTGTTTGTTCCTTTTGAAGTTCCCCAGATCAGCTTGTAGAGCGAAGGCCGCCAGGAGGAAGTAAGCCTCTTCCCGCTGCGTGCACGCAGACAGCAAGACTTGTTTCCGTAGGTGGCAATAGTAAAAGTATCGGGCGGTTCTATCGCTGCAATGGGAGATAAAAACACAAGATGTTGGATAAACATTTACATTGTATCGAAAAAAACTGCATTAATATTCATGGTCAATAGATCTCCTTCGTCAAGTGAGAGAGGGGGAGATATCCCAATGGGGCATTAATATATCAATATACCTGTATGGGTGTTAAGTCGTGTTACCATAAAGGGAGTGATGGAGAAATATGAATGGAGCGATTTATAAATGTGTTGCAGTCAGGCGCAGAGCCCTAAAAATGGGGCCCAGCCTTTCTAATCACAGAAATGTTATTGATCTAACCCAAATAGGACTCATTCGGTCATAACATTATTGCATTGCACGCCCACATGGTTTGTATTAAAAAACTTTGAATGCGCTTTGTAAGTGACAGTGGAAACGGCCACAGTTGGGGTATTTTTTGTTTTCGTTGTGACTTTCGGTTTCATGGGGACTGGGATTTAGGAAAGGGGATCGTAAAACGAGTCACAGCTGCAAAACGTGAGATATCACCATAGGAACCAGCGTAATCAAAAACATTCCATTGGTTTCCACGATGACTGCTCCACTTTTTGAACGCTGGTCTGAATTTTCGGTGGCCAATCCTTATACAAGTCTTCACGTAGGGACACATCGTAGATTGCACATAACACTAGATGCAAGATGGCGGGAAAATGTAGCCCAATAAACAAATTTCAAAATTGTCACATTGTGATCACATTTATACATTGTAATAATTATTTTAAATAATAGGTCATTTAGTCACACTTTTCACCCTATTCTAACTTCATGGTATAAATGTGGAAAACAAACCAATATCCGGTATAGTTGCGCAATGTGCATTTTGAATGCGGCTCGCCCCCGGGCTATGTCCCTTGTAGCCGAAATCCCTATCTTAGCCTACAACTGGGCTGTGTTAAAGACCGATTCTCCCACAGAATGAAGTTGCTGTGCGGCCTCTGCTAATGGCGTTTCCTTTATTTAACCATTTCCAGATGTTTGCAGAAATAGGAGCCCTTTGTGTCTTCTATAAAAAAAAAGAAGGGCTGTGCTGCCTGCAGGCCATGGATGGTACGACGTGTGAGCCATCTCCGCAGAACATCTGTAATAAGGCCATAATGAGGGCAACACAGAGATTGTGGTATGAGGTCAGATAGAAAGGGTTAAATCTCATGTGGAGCAGGTAGATTGGATATACAGACTGTGTATTGTACAGCGCTATGGAATCTGATAGCGCTATATTAATAATAATAATAATAATGTACAGCTACGATGCTCACACAGAGTATATGGCACAATGGGAGTTTGCTAGTACGGACAAAAAAAACTGAGAGACTTCAATGCAGCAAATTAGGGAAATATCCCATTCTTTGGCACACCGGCTGCTATGGGTACGTTAAGGTATTGGTGGATTAGATTCCACGTCTACATTGAGCTATTGGTGGGTTACATTCCACGTTTGCCACGGGTACATTGAGCTATTGGTGGGTTACATTCCATGCCTGCCACGGGTACATTGAGCTATTGGTGGATTACATTCCACGTTTGCCACAGGTTCATTGTGTTACAGTTAGGCTGCCTGTTTTCTGGGTTCAGAGATACTTTTAGCGCAAATGTAACACTTCTCACTTCAAGTTTTAGGCTGAACATCAATCCATATTTTAATTGTTTTTAAAAGTATATATTTTTCATACATCACATCTTCATTCTCTAATGGCAATAACCAGACAATTTATTACTGAAGACAAACTTATTGTCGACTCATCTTCTCAAACAGGAGAAATTATGAGAAAACGACGTGGATTTTCATAAACAAAAGGGAAATGTAAAAATCCCTTATTAAAAACGGCGGCCTACGTCCGATGGGTTTATACAAGATCACATCAATAGTGTTTAATTTGGGAGTATTCAGTCATTTCATTAAGTGGATGCACAGCTGTATGGCTATATGTATAGATTTTTGGCGATCTATGGTTTTATTTAGTCTCACAGACACATTCAGGCTTGAACCAGTCGAACCCTCAATAAAGGCACATTATGGCCGGCCATAAAGCTGTTACATTCATGCAGTGACACATTGTGTTTTCCTTAGCAGTAAACATGTTGTGTCACCTTGTAGAAGGCCTCTCTGAGTGTTTATCTTGGGCTGTCCCCAGCAGGACACAGAGAGACCATATTGAGGTCTTACATGGGAACCAAGTTATGCAAACAATCCCTTAACGAGGTCATTTAAGAGATTCGTTCAGGTTGAAATTGAGGCAAAAGGAGTCCCCTCTCCACTAATTACTACACCAGTCAAAAGAAGGAATCCTTATGTAGATAAATATCTGGAACAGTGAATAATCCACGCGGATATTACAGAAGAAGATGAGCTTGTTTGTCTAAACTCCCATTATTGTTTTAATGGATCAATACTTCATGTATGAAGAGAGGCCATTGGGGGCCCATTTATTAAGTAGAGGACAATGAGATTACATCCTAAATTAATAGGTTTGGAAACAAAACGCTCCGCTCAGCTCCAAAAAGCTCAGATTTCAATTATAGGCCAAGTAAACGTCCAGATTATCCTAAAAATACAGAATTTCATAAAGCCAAAATATTAAGATTATTTAGCATGTCATTTCATAAATTAATTTATTTTGTATTTTATATTTACTGCCATCACAAAAAAAAAGGAAAATAACCCGTGTGGACTTGCTATAGTAGATATAATATATCGAGCAACTCAGACAAAAAATAGCAATCAGGTGTAGCAATCCATCCAGCACCCGCCGCTTTATTCACCAAGTAATGCTTCGGAGTGGAATCTTTCTTAATTAAGCTGCGTGGTAACATCCGCCTCACTTCTTTTTCATTATGGCCTCGATTTAATATTTTTGGATAAGCCGTTCAAATGATTTATTTTCAAAATATTAACATATCATATATATATTGGCAATATGTTATGGTTCTCCCCGCTAGGTGATCCTTATTACAGACATCCCACGTCTCCCAGTATGTCCAGGAGACTCCCGTATTTGTAGTGTGTCTCCCTGACGCCCTCAAGTCTCATACAATATGACATACAATATATATCAGATTGAGTGTGATTTACGGGCTATTATATATTCTAAATGCTCTCAATAAATTAAGGGCATTTAGAATATATTAAGATTACCAATCCGATTAATATTATTTCTGAGCAGGGGCCCAATCAAGTGCCCCAGCCTTTTAAGAGTCTGACCGGTGCCTGCAGTATCTGCCGGCTGGGAGGAAGTGATAGAGAGCTGGAGCACACAGGCAGCATGGAGGCAAAAGAGATGCTGGAGCTCCCATCAGCCTCAACCATAACACAAGGTAAGCTAAGGGTGGGTGCAGATCAAATGATTATACCTTGTGTGTGTGCAAGTGTGTGTATCTGTGTGTCAGTGTGTATCTCAGTGAGTGTGTATCTGTATGTATCCAAGTGTGTATATCTGTGTTTCAGTGTGTATCTGAGTGAGTGTATGTGTGTCAGTGTGTATCTGAGTGAGTGTGTATGTATCTAAGTGTGTGTATATACCAGTCTGTGTATCTGTGTGTATGAATGTGTGTATCTGTATGTCAGTGTGTGTATTGACAGTGTGTGTATCTGTGTGTGTATGTGAAAGTGTGTGTGTATGTGTCAGTGTCCATATCTGTGTGTCAAGGTGTGTGCATGAGTCTTTGTGTTAATAGTATGTGTAAATAGTTGTAATATGTAAATAGTTGTGTTCAGTCATAATAAAATATGATGTAGTTGTTCATACATGTTTGGTGGCTGTGTGTATTTGTGCGTTTTGGGGTCTGTATGTGTAGGTGCACACGTGTGTTTGCCGTTGCTGGTACAGCCACCTCTCTGAAATTAGATTTTGCATGTTTGGATATCTGTTATTAACCTGCACACAGTGTGTATGTTACAAAACAGGACCGGTTATTTATTCTCACCTTATTAACCTGCACACTGAGTGTATGTTACAAAACAGGACCGATTATTCATTCTCACCTTATTAACCTGCACATTGAGTGTAGGTTACAGAACAGGACCGGTTATTCATTCTCACCTTATTAACCTGCACAATGAGTGTATGTTACAAAACAGGACCGGTTATTCATTCTCACCTTATTAACCTGCACACTGTGTGTATGTTACAAAACAGGACCGGTTATTCATTCTTACCTTATTAACCTGCACAATGAGTGTATGTTACAAAACAGGACCGGTTATTCATTCTCACCTTATTAACCTGCACACTGTGTGTATGTTACAAAACAGGACCGATTATTCATTCTCACCTTATTAACCTGCACAATGAGTGTATGTTACAAAACAGGACCGGTTATTCATTCTCACCTTATTAACCTGCACACTGTGTGTATGTTACAAAACAGGACCGATTATTCATTCTCACCTTATTAACCTGCACACTGAGTGTATGTTACAGAACAGGACCGATTATTCATTCTCACCTTATTAACCTGCACATTGAGTGTAGGTTACAGAACAGGACCGGTTATTCATTCTTACCTTATTAACCTGCACAATGAGTGTATGTTACAGAACAGGACCGGTTATTCATTCTCACCTTATTAACCTGCACACTGAGTATATGTTACAGAACAGGACCGGTTATTCATTCTCACCTTATTAACCTGCACAATGAGTGTATGTTACAAAACAGGACCGATTATTCATTCTCACCTTATTAACCTGCACATTGAGTGTAGGTTACAGAACAGGACCGGTTATTCATTCTTACCTTATTAACCTGCACAATGAGTGTATGTTACAGAACAGGACCGGTTATTCATTCTCACCTTATTAACCTGCACACTGAGTATATGTTACAGAACAGGACCGGTTATTCATTCTCACCTTATTAACCTGCACACTGTGTGTATGTTACAAAACAGGACCGATTATTCATTCTCACCTTATTAACCTGCACACTGAGTGTATGTTACAAAACAGGACCGGTTATTCATTCTCACCTTATTAACCTGCACACTGTGTGTATGTTACAAAACAGGACCGATTATTCATTCTCACCTTATTAACCTGCACAATGAGTGTATGTTACAAAACAGGACCGGTTATTCATTCTCACCTTATTAACCTGCACACTGTGTGTATGTTACAAAACAGGACCGATTATTCATTCTCACCTTATTAACCTGCACAATGAGTGTATGTTACAAAACAGGACCGGTTATTCATTCTCACCTTATTAACCTGCACACTGTGTGTATGTTACAAAACAGGACCGGTTATTCATTCTCACCTTATTAACCTGCACAATGAGTGTATGTTACAAAACAGGACCGGTTATTCATTCTCACCTTATTAACCTGCACACTGTGTGTATGTTACAAAACAGGACCGATTATTCATTCTCACCTTATTAACCTGCACACTGAGTGTAGGTTACAGAACAGGACCGATTATTCATTCTCACCTTATTAACCTGCACACTGAGTGTAGGTTACAGAACAGGACCGATTATTCATTCTCACCTTATTAACCTGCACACTGAGTGTATGTTACAAAACAGGACCGATTATTCATTCTCACCTTATTAACCTGCACACTGTGTGTATGTTACAGAACAGGACCGATTATTCATTCTCACCTTATTAACCTGCACACTGAGTGTATGTTACAAAACAGGACCGGTTATTCATTCTCACCTTATTAACCTGCACACTGAGTATGTTACAGAACAGGACCGGTTATTCATTCTTACCTTATTAACCTGCACACTGTGTGTATGTTACAGAACAGGTCCGGTTATTCATTCTTACCTTATTAATCTCCCATTTTCGACATAGTATTGCACTCGGAAGTGTATGATCATAGGTGGACCGAACTGGTCTATACCCTGCAGGGAGAGGGGGAAAGGGTTAATCACATTAAAATAAGGAACCGTGAAAGATAAATGGATCTTGTTACAAGTTTCCAGGTACATCGTGGAGTCTAGATCACTATTATTGGAAGTTATTCACTAATAATACTTGTATTAGGATTTGTGTTTTGGCAGAGGAATAATAATAATAATAATAATAATAATAATAATAATAAACAGATCACTTTCTCTTATTACAACAGCGGCAAAAATTCCTAAAGAGCAAGAAATCTATTGAGTAAAGAAAGAGAGGGACGTACCTTGCTGGCCTCCTTCTTCCACTCCTTGGGGCAGTATTTGTAGACTTTCTGCAAAGGTTCCATGTAAACATGTTCATTGTCTGCGAGAGAGAGAGAGAGAGAGAGAGAGAGAGAGAGAGAGAGAGAGAGAGAGAGAGAGAGAGAGAGAGAGAGAGAGAGAGAGAGAGAGAGAGAGAGATTCAGCCAATGTACACAAACTCCATTCTTAGACAGCCCAATGCCAGCGGAATTCTGTCTTGGGGAACTGGGATCGCACTGGGTTAATAAGAAATCCTCGCCAGCTCCAACACAGAGAATCGCATTTATTCAGATGGCCAGAGCATGAAAAATGCTGGCTGGCAGTATGCAGAATTCATATGCTGCAGGAGAGAAATCACCTACTTTCAGATTTTACCCTCACTCACTAATCTCTCCCAGGCAGCGTATGAATTCTGTATATCACCCAACAGCCTGAAGTGATGACATTACTGAAATGCGAGATGCATCACTAACACGTTCGGCAGTTAAGGGGTTAAATTAGAGATTGCGTACAGTCATATCTTAACTCGACCATTTAGGAGATTAGAAACGGACAATAAATGTGCAAATTGGATGCTGATTGCTAAGCATTAAGGGGTCTATTCTCTAAACAGTGGTTTGTAGTGAAATTCTGCAAATTCTCTATAAAAATTGCTGATTAAGAAGCACTCTGACTCCACTGCGGTCTCCGCTCGGCTGGTTTACACTGCAATATGCCGGTGGGATTTTCTGTCCCCTACGATTTGATGTTTAATGAATAAACCCCAAACTGGACAAACGTTACATGGAGACTGGTCACTGGAAATAGTGCAAACAGGGTATTTATCAAAATGTAACCTTTAGGATTATTAATAAAATATATCAAAAATTTGTCAGGAGCAGATTTAGAAAAAATGCTAAGAAAATCACGCAAAATCCGTGCAACAATACGGAGAAAATGGAGCAGTTACCATGGAAACCAACGCAATGTCATAGCTAACCAAACCTGCTAATAGCACTTTGCCTTTAAGATGGTCCTGTATAGAAAATCTTCATTATTTGATCTACACCTTGATCTACTGGAAGCATATTACTTCCACGTGTTGATGGGCAGCACAGGAAAGGTTCTGCCCTGCAATGTGTACGCGAGCAATGACTGAGAAACAGCTAGCTCTGGAAATCCTAGTGAGAACAGGGGGCCACGTATGGACAGATCAGGACCATCCAGTTAGGCTGGAGCACAGACTGGACGATGGGGGGTAATGTGGGTGTGTCAACTCAGGAAAATCAGACACAGTGCACCCAACTCCCAATACGCTCAGCCAGCCTAGTGAGGATATTCCAAGATCCCACGTTTTCTTTTAATGGTTCTGATTCTTGAAATACACGAACTATTATTGCAATACGCCACATATAGCACCAGCCCTGCAATATGATTATTTAGAGGGGACGCCATGCTTACATATTAATGGGTTTTTGGTTACGTTTAACTATTAATTGCCAGGATTTTTAATACAATGTTTGCTTATGTAACAGCTTAATCAAATTGATATAAAAAATGTTTATTGCGGTTTCTTCTCCTACAGTGACACGGGAATGAACCGGATTGTGAGGACAAATACGAAATCTTTGATATAAATCGAATAGATTCTCACACGTCACGTCCTCTAAACTTTTCTCATAGAAAGCCTTTGATTGGAGGAAAGCAGCGCTTATTAAATAAGCGATTCTTATCCACAGACAAATCCTGAAACCCACAACGGCTGCTGGGATTAGACAAAAGATGGTCTGCTTTCACCCCTTAAGGACACATGACGTGTGATGTCATGATTCCCTTTTATTCCAGAAGTTTGGTCCTTAAGGGGTTAAAACATTTTCCCTGAATCTAAACAGTAAAGAGAATATATGTTTCCATTCCTAACGCTATCGTGTTCCTTTAATATAGAGTAAATTCCAGAGAAGTCATAATTCCTTTTCTGAATACAATCATTGTTATATTACTGCCAAAGAATGGAGGTTTCCAGTATAAAAAAAATGAATAATTCGGGTAATTCTCATTCAATGTAGGCGGATGTCTGCAGTCTTCATTTAATCTGAATAATGTGACAATCTGCTGCTGTGTTCAATGGGCGATGATACCCTGGGAAACCCAAACTAAGGAATTTTTACTAAACAACAAGAATATTACAAGTTTCAGGCTAAAACGGCACAATTCCTTCAACTTTATTAGTTTGGCCTAAAACGTGCAATTTCAGAGTGAATTTGAACAAATCCCATGAACTGGATGGCATTGTTTAACGGTGACCCTCACACGGTGTACATTGAGATTAGTATTGTCGTGCTGTTGTGTATCATATGAAAACTGCTGCCCACTTCATGTATTAAACCTAACGTGTTATAGATTGTGGATTCTACAAACTCATTCTTCTGGCAGACCTGGAACTGAACACACTTCAGGGAAGCACTTTCCATGCACTGCCCATCAATGCATATATATATAATATGGATATTGTATAACACAAGGCAGCTCTTTTCATGTACTGCCCACAGCAGGAATGCGTATTTGGCAAAAGCCGTCACTAATATCTGGAATTGCTGTGTTTTGCATGACACGTTCCGATCCCTGCAGCTAATTTACTTCTTCAATCTTCACGTTTCTTGTGTTCTCTGAAAGAATCGCAGAGTCGGTGTCCATCCTGTGAGTGAGCGCCATGAAGTGACGGCCCCGGTTGGTGGCATTTTGTTCAGTTTGTTACACGCTCTCTGTGTAGAATCTTCTCTGAGTGTTAGCAGGAATGCAAGGAGCGGCTCATGAGCCTCAGCTGTGCTCGTTTATCAGAAACACCGCATGGGAGGCTGCCGGTTTAACCCCCTGAGTGCCAGCATGCAGGCAACACACAGCTAACACTTCGACACTATGTATAGTGCTTTATTAATTCTTCACTCTGTGGGGCAGGACTTCGAAAAGCTTCCAGACAGTATGCGGAATTCACATACTCCTGATGTGATCCTAATTTAGTAATCACAGAAGGAAAACCAAAAAGGAGCTGCAGTGATAAATTGATTTCACACCGGGAGCACAATAATTCCACATACTGCAGGGCAGCACTTCAATCCTTGCAAACTCAGAATGCAGAATTCATGAATGACATGGAAAAAAACCAGCAACATGTCAGAGTTATAAAGTCGTTAAACGGGTGTGAACTTCTACCTTTTTTTATTTTATTTTTCACACCTCACAAATACATATTTATTAAATATAGGGATAAATGAAAACACAATATTAACAATCCTGGGACGTGACAGCTGCCGTTTGCTACTGCTACTTACTCTGTATGACGCTGAGCCCGAAGAGATGACAATCTTTTAGCCGGAGCAGGTCACACACCTGGACTAGTAACTCCTGGCAAAGTGCTTTAACCTGTAACATACAAACATATCGTTTAGCAGGAAGAACAATGCTCGTTTTAATGTTGAAATCATAGAATTGTCAATAAACTCTGCGTCAGGGCTCGGTATTTTCAAAACCCTGCACTCATACAGTCTGCTTCTGTTCTACATTCCCACAGATATATACTAAAACATTAACTGATGAGAATTATTATTACTGGCATTTATAAAGCACCAACATATTCCGCAGCGCTGTACAATTGGTGAAAAGGACAGTCCAATATACAGAGACCAATAAATCTCGCCACTGAAGTTCGTTCATACAAAGTATTTTGCTAAATATCCCATGAGCTCACACACTCAAGGTTCAAAGAATTCAAAGGAAATGTCACATTTTATGCCAAAATACCTGAATTCGAAATACCAGGTTTGACTATATTGTCCTAAAATGTAAAATTCTTTTCAAACTAACTTCGAATTTCTGAGTATCGGTACATCTACTCCACAGAGACAGATACAGTTACTTTTCCATTTTGGCTTCATATTTGTTAAATAAATCATGACGTGGTGTAATGTCATGTGTTGTTCATCTCCGGTTGTATTTACCCAATTCTACGACCTGCTACCGAACTGATGAATGTTTTTAAGTAAAACCATAGAATTCAAAGAGGGGGTACTTTCTTTTTCCCCCTGTACCTTCCGCCTCACACAACACACGAGTGTATGCCACGTTTGTTCACAATTTGATTGCAAAAAATAAATTTGCTGCAGCAGGTGTGGGCACTCAGTAAGCACAATGTTCAACAGACATTCTAATAGAGTGTGCAAAATCTCTAACCCACAGAGCTTACAATCTACACACTGGAAGAAGTCGCAGAACATACTTACATTTATGATGATATTTAACGTGTCATCATTGGGTAGGAACACGCAGACGCTCCGTCGATCCTGCATAACTCTGTTATTTTGGAAGCTCAGTTTGCTCATTTTGCAGTGGGTGCTATTAGGGTGTCACTGTGGCGCTCTTTGCCCAGTCTGGCACCTCACACTCTCAGAGCACCCCAATACCGCTCGACTTTCCAGAATCACCATCTTCATTCTAGGTACACGCACGGCCCTCTAAATCCAGAATAAACACTGCAAAAAAAATTAAAAGGGAATAGCGTCAGTCAAGTCAGTCAGTACATTCGCCATAATGCTCAGCGAGATATGATAAGTGATCACTGGTTTACAGCTGCAGCCAGAAACGGCCACAAAACAAGTACATTTATTATTCCTTTATCTCGGATATCACGGACTCTCAATCACAATCAGCTTGCCAATATCGAGAAGTTAAGACTGGTTTTTAAAACATTTTTATAGATTCATCTAAATAAAGAAAAAATAAATAATTGCTATTGATTTTTCCTGTCGTTCAGCTAATCAGAAAATGTCAGAGAAGGTTTCCTGAATAATTGATGATTGGAAGAATCAGGGAAAATGCAAATGAAGTCTAATGGGATCACAATGTGAACAGAACATCGCTTTATCTGCAAAAGTTTTTTTAAAAGTACATTTATTTTGGAATTTGTGGAAATGAAAATCTGCAAAAAACCTTACAAAAATGCACTATAAAAAAATTTGACCCCTTTTAAAAACCAATGTAATACGTATCTCTATGTGTATTTCATAAATAAATAGAACCCCCGAGGAATAGGCCACGGGGCTTCTGACATTGCATGACTTTGCACGACTCATAACTTGGATTTTTGCACATCTGTGGTAGTGAATAGCGGGAGTATAAACTTTTCACACACAATGTCTCATTAGATGAAGATACATGCTACCATGTATACCTATTTATAAGAAAATAAACCCCCTCCCCCAAATAAATAGCAATCCTGATAGTGGTACACAGAAAGTATTCCAGCCCTGCAGTACTTGGCCGTTATTGGATTATAGGAATTGTAGTCCCAGCAATGCTGAACTGGGTTCTATCCAGAGAGCCTTGAATGTCAGAATGTTCCATAAATTTACCCTGAAAACGTTCCATGAAATATACCGGGTTATGTGCTAGAGGGAGAATTCAAAGTTAATTTAAAATTAAGGTTAAAACAGCCAAACTGGAAAAACTCTCGACACCAGCTATGCTCTCGGTTCGACTAGTCTGGCCTTTATTTGAAATTCACTTTGAATTTTCCCTTTAGTAAATAAAACCTATATTATTTTACACGGTTATAACAGATGAGATCTTCCTTGAATTGTTTGTCCTGATAGTGCGCAGTAAGTGCACGTCGGACTCCCAGACTGCTGCTTGTGCAGACATTGCACTCTCCAAACCCTTAACGGTAACAGCCACGTCTCGTCATGGTCCGGGGACAAACGTGACTTGTTTAATTCTCATACATGGTACAGACGGAAAACATACAGTATTGGTTTAATAAATAAGCCCCCAGAGCCTGCTTCCCACGAGTATTGCACTTCAACATGTTCCTAAAAACACCCGCCTGACGGGTTACTCGGCTTCAAAAAAAACCTTAAAGGAATCTAATCATTTCAGGGATTGGTTGTTGTGTGAATGTGTTAATCATTTTGGCAGAAATCTGTGCAGGTCAATAGGAGCAAGGAATGCCCTAAATTATATTTTAAAAGTTTCTCCCAAACCCTTAAACCCAATGCCTTCCACCGACCCAGGGCAATAGGTTGGCAGTCTAGGCACACTGGCGGTGATAAAGGGGTTAAACTGAATCCCTCACTGCCAGCACTTTTGCCACTAACCTTTATCCCCCTAAACTCTGTCTATTCTTAACCCCTGACCCTTAGTGGAACCTTAACCCCTAATCATAACCCTAAAGAACGTCACCCGCTAATTGTTAACCATAACTACTAATCAATACATCTCTACGCCACAGTAAAACACCCGTGCTTGAATCTCCCATCCTGACCATAGACGCCCCATTATAATAGACCATAACATTATTCCAGATGACATCATGGGGCGTGCTAATAATTACTAACACTAAACTCTGTACCCACTCACTGAGCAAAATCCCCCAAACCAAAGAGGACACGAGGTTTTTATTGGTTTTATCCCCAATGATCAAAAGGTAAAAGGTGGACGTGCAACTTGTGTATTTTTGCATTATTATTTATAAAACACCAACACCTCCAACTAACATAATCTGAATGAAGGAATGATGACATTTAAAGTCTTTTTATCTAGAAAATTGGATGCTGTTTAATTACTCCCATGATTCTTTGTCCAAGGTCCAAATGACAAAGGATTGCCAAGCATTGTGGGAATTGTAGTCAGTTAGCATGTTGGTGTCACAGTCACAGACAGCGCCGAGGGCTGCAGGTGGACATATTGGTAGCTACCACAATAGCGGTCATTTTAAATTAAATGTTTTGTTTTTTTAAATCACGGATGATGCCTTGCAGAGTAGCACTGAGCACACTGTCAGCAGAGTTTAACATTATCTGAAGGCTCTCTTCTCTGCACAGCAGGACGCCCTGCGTGTGTTTCATCCAATAGCACATGAAATGGCATGAAATAACGCGTTCAGAATATTCATGATCTGATCCATTTCAAAGGAAGGCCAGCAGTCAGATCACCAGCCATGTTCAGTTATGCTTGACGGAAACACAGGAGGAAAGTTAACTTCTGTGAATATTAAATTCTCTCCGGACAGATCCAGGTTAACAGAGATTTTGGAAAGAAAAACGTTTTTTTGGTGCTATGTGATAAATATATTTATTTCCCCCAAAAAAGATTAAATTATTATATGTTTATACACACGCATACAATAGGCAGATATCGTGGCTGCTAGCAGTTCGCACACCGCGAGGTGCACTGTTTAGTGGTCAGGCCACGCTAGGCTCTAGGCAGATATCGTGGCTGCTAGCAGTTCGCACACCGCGAGGTGCACTGTTTAGTGGTCGGGCCATTCTAAGCTCTAGGTAGAGCCATGGTGTGTTCACATGCAGTCCGTGGCACCGCTCTCTATTCTCAGAATTTTCAGAACACGAGGAGTATGTGGCGTACTGTGGTCAGAGTGGCCGGAGGTTTCAGAAACACACAGCTATAATCTGAGAATTGTTATGAAATTAAAGTGAAAATATATCTCCAAAATCAGCTTGGCTTCCAGTTTAGGTACAAGGGCTTTGAAGGTAAAATTCACTTACTAAGAGATCTCACCTTAGTAAATAACCCGGACAGTGACCCAGCCAGTGAGGTTTCAAAATATGGTAATACAGGGTACATGATTTACAGATCAACTTCTGAATCATATCGCAAATTACCGTGTGATACAAAATGGTATTTAAAGAGAAAATGTGCATCAGGTGATATGTCGGTATAGCGTCCAAATGCCCTATAATAAAAATCATTTATTGTGTGTCTCATTCACAAGGGTTTTAATAGATCCCTATAACACACATTTTACAGTGTTATTTACCAAACTCCACCTTTACTGAATTAAAACCTGAATTAGAACATTTAGGGTCGAGTAGCCAAGCTCGGTTGGATAATTTGTGAATATGAGCTATTTTAGTTTTCATTTTCCATTCAGATTTTAATTAGTGAAAATGTAGAGTTTAGTGACTAACTCATTGTGTTAATTCAGAAAGTAAAAAAAATGGTGCTGTAGAAGGCAGAGATGGCAGCTTGGGAAATGTTTAACTTCATTAGAAAGTACGCATAGGGGAGGTTGGTTGGTACAATCAGGACTACTCCTCAATTGCTACAAATTCCCATCTTTCGGGAGCAGTTGACTCACTCCAGGTTCACACTCCTCTCCTTCGGGCCTACTTCCAGACTGTTACGCACTATTCCCAGTTATAAACTTGCAGCAACATTCCCAAACATACCCCTGTAACAGTGGACAAATGTTCCGAAAACCTTCAGATCTTCCAATAGTCTGAAATTCTCTGTAGCTACTTCGAAACAGCTTGAAATACCTACAAATAATGAATGGTTTTATACCCACATGAAATATTTAACCCTACAGTGTTTATTTGCTCTCTGATTCAATGACTGAACTCAAATCAGAATCCTAAAAGCCCACTTGCTTCTTGGCATATAGTATAGATTGTTTTTCGAGCCAGTTATGGTTAGTCACAGTTAATGTATCAACTTATCCAAGTAAATTCTTCCTCTGCACAAATGTTAATCATTGCTCCCTAACTGAAGCTGAATGCTTCAAAACATGATAAAATTGTATTTTAAGACAAAAGTCAATATTCAAAGGCATTCGAGGGCATTTCATGCAAATGACCTCAACCCACATGACTTCTTGAATGTATGTAGACCACTTATAGGGAATTCGAGTGCAAGCAACGATTTGAACAAGGTGCTTTAAGATAACATACCCCATAGTCAAGGTAAGTGAGCTTTTCTTACTAATCACTGTGTGTTTTGTTCAGATTGGCGATAGTCTCTGTTTAAGTGGCTCCGTCTTTTACAAAATGTGTGTGTGCGTGACAGATTCAGCTTTAGGTGGGTTATAAAATGTAATCTAGACATTGTACTAACAACGTATTATGCATCTCTTTTACATTTTATCTCAAAAAACAGTAAATGAGGTCAGGATTTCAACTTGCAACTGTCTATCAGCCTGACATGTGCTAAGAGCTATGAATAATCAGACGTTCTACGCTTTAATATTCAGAGGACACCAAATCTGAGCATTTCCATTCCCCATTCATTGCTGGCTGTAATCTCCGGACATGTGAGATTCGGCAAGTAGGCATGAAAGTTCTTTGACGTGTAACGTGTTAATGCTCTCAGTCTGCAGAGAATGGAAGTGCTTGTGTAAGGGAGTCTGGGACACAAAACCTCAACAGATTGCACTGCTACAAAGGAGCGAACAGTGACTTATCGGACAGAACCCAATACACCTCCATCAACAGCTAGATTTCACATTCCCCACGGTTCAATTCTTAGCCTGATCTATCCTCCATATTTACTAACGACCTATTACTAGGTAGACAGCACATGTGAATGCAGACACCGCCATAGTGAAAACAAAGAAACCAAACGTATAGGATGAAGACTAAGAAAAGGATTACAGGTGTTCCTTAAATACTGTCATAACAATTATAATCTAAAATTGCCCAAAATCGATCTGCCACCTGACAGACGAGCAATAATTAAGGTCAAATTTACTACAACGTCCTATAAAGTCATTTTCTCCACCAGCTCCTAGAGGTCATGCTAGCTGGAGACTGTGTCACTAAAATGGACCCAAATACAATTCTGTGACGGACTCCAATGTAAAGGCTTAGGTGATACCAATGTACATGAAATATTAAACACTTGCCATACACAATGGGGATGCTATAAATGCACTGTATTGGAGCAGTTCCATAAAAACTGTGGATCTTCCTGCCACCCGTAGCCCCGCCTCTCTGCTGCCATACTGATAATGTGGAAATGACACTTCCTCTTTACCAAATAGGAATCTGTCCAACCTGGACTACAATGATAGGCTGAGCGCACTGAGGCAGGTATCTTCCTGCCACCCATAACCCCACCCCTCTGCTGCCATACTGATTGTGACGAAATCCCTGTTTGGACATACTCAGAGAAACAGCATTTCGTCTAAATATTCGTGTGTTTGGCTATTTCGTGTATTTGTAAAAGAGCCGAACAAACTCCCGAACCACCCGACCTCCCACCAGGGTCGTGTGCAGCTCATTTACAACCCAGACCTTGCGGCTAACCGCAAGGTAATTGATGAAAGGCTTGGTGGTCCACGTTCATTTGCCGAACACGTGGCGGTCGCCATTTTAAAATCGAACACTCAGAGGTAGATGGTCGTCGACCCTCTGGAACTGTTTTCGGACACTTATTTAGCCGCGCACCGCTGAAGCGCACCAAGTTCCTGTCCATTCGGTTAATAACTCCTGAACACTTTCGGGACTTTCCTATTATACGAGCTAGACCGACCCCAGGTAGCTACAGTTATGGAACTCTTTTCGGATTCAATTTCCCGAACAACCGGTGAACTAAAAACTTTACTCGACGATATTGAGAACTGTGTTCGTGGGATCTGAGCGCTATTCGTCTATATTGTGTGCTCAGATCCAAGCTATCTGGGGTTATGTGGAACATGGAGACTACGTTCAGCCAAATATGAGTTATAGACTTTAATACAGTTTTGTCAAAATGTAAAAAGGACATGTTTTCTCTACCTGGAGAGAATTAAGTGAATTATCTCCAGGATAGAGGGGAGGGTTTGCACTGTTACTGTGGGTGTGTTTAATAATTGTACTGTAAACTGATTGGTTCTGTATATTTTGTTAAAGTTTTCCACAAGGTCCCCTGTGGGAGTTTCCTTGCTGGGAGACCACCATAAAAGGCTGAGTTTGGCCATCAATAAGTCAGATCGTTTTACCCCTTCATGAAGCCTCGACTCGTGTTTGGGGGAATTGGGAGCTATAATCACTACTTCGTTATTATTCTACTGGGAGTTCGGGAGAAGCTGCAAGGATCGGTACTACAGAGATAGCAGGATCCTTCACACTGATAATGTGGAAATTACACTTCCTCTTTACCAAGTAGGAATGTGTCCAACCTGGACTGCAATGATAGGCTGAGCGCACTGGGGCTGGTCTCTTCCTGCCACCCATAGCCACGCCCCTCTGCTACCATACTGATAATGTGGAAATTACACTTCCTCTTTACCAAGTAGGAATGTGTCCAACCTGGACTGCAATGATAGGCTGAGCACACTGGGGCGGGTCTCTTCCTGCCACCCATAGCCCCGCCCCTCTGCTACCATACTGATAATGTGGAAATTACACTTCCTCTTTACCAAGTAGGAATGTGTGCAACCTGGACTGCAATGATAGGCTGAGCGCACTGGGGCGGGTCTCTTCCTGCCACCCATAGCCCCGCCCCTCTGCTACCATACTGATAATGTGGAAATTACACTTCCTCTTTACCAAGTAGGAATGTGTGCAACCTGGACTGCAATGATAGGCTGAGCACACTGGGGCGGGTCTCTTCCTGCCACCCATAGCCACGCCCCTCTGCTACCATACTGATAATGTGGAAATTACACTTCCTCTTTACCAAGTAGGAATGTGTGCAACCTGGACTGCAATGATAGGCTGAGCACACTGGGGCGGGTCTCTTCCTGCCACCCATAGCCACGCCCCTCTGCTACCATACTGATAATGTGGAAATTACACTTCCTCTTTACCAAGTAGGAATGTGTCCAACCTGGACTGCAATGATAGGCTGAGCGCAGTGGGAGCGGGTATCTTCCTGCAGATTTTCAGTTTGCACAATTCATTGCTGAGTGAATAAATTTCACAGAGAGGCAGAGATCAGAAATAAAAATGGCTGATTAACAGAGAATATTTACAACTTGCTCACACATTGAGACTCGTTAACTAAACTAGAAATTATGGAAATCACAGAGGTTAATCCTTTATTTCCATTTGAACTTCAGTTTTTAGGCCAAAACAGACACTTATCAGTTCTCCTTATTTCTAGATATGTTACTGTACGTTTCTACACACATAACACGAAATTTATCACTGTTTAAAGAAGGAAAACTCCCTTTACCTTCGATACATCGAAAAATAGATCTATTTATAATAGGTAACGCCAGGCAGGACACTTTGAAAGCTGTAGTAAGACAGTGTTATTTATATATAATCTGTATAAGAGGCTTTATCTATATCTATTCTGTATAACGAGCACTTTATGGAGCCTGAACACAGTTCTGTCCCCAATTAACTGTGATTTAGCCCTATCTATGATCTATTAGATTATTCAATGGATTCTAGGTTTTGAGTAGACCAAGGTGGACTATCAGTGGATCTCTGGGTAGCAGAAGATTGGGTCTCATGATGTCAGGTTCTGCTCCTAAAATGGAGGAGCTGGAAAAATTCTCAGAATTGTCTGTTTTTCAAACTTGGCTATTTTAGTCTGAAACTTCTAATTCTCTTGCCATAATTTGCAGGATAGTGATTAACCCATATCTGACATAAGCAGAGGAAATCAGACTTCATAAGTTCTCATTTCATGCCCTCCTTGTACGGCCAAGACAAGTCACGGAAACAGCGAATCTATATGTTACATAGAGCTTTGGTGTAGCTCGGACAGACTGGATGTAAATGTGATAAGTAAAGGAATCTGCGATACGTTACATAGAGCTCTGGTGTAGCTCGGACACAATGGGCGTGAATGTGACAAGTTACTGAATCGATGATACGTTACCTGGAGCTCTGGTGTAACTCAGACAGGCTGGCTGTGAGTGTGACAAGTTACGAAATCGACGATATGTTATCTGGAGCTCTGGTTTAGCTCTGACAGGCTGCCCGTGAATATTACAAGTTACGAAACTAAAAATATGTTACCTGGAGTTCTGGTGTAGTTCGGACACACTGGTTATGATCCGGGCGGAGCTGAATATGCATCAGCCAAGATGTGGTTTTAGGTTAATTTCCAAGAGCAACGCTATTAAATCTTCAGGTCCCAAGAGAGTGAGGATGGTATTCACACAGCTGTGTATAAACATATTTCCGGATGCACAGTATGGAGGTTTCCGAGAGCCCTAAATCTAGCCCTATAATAAATCATCTTTGTGCCATTTACACTGGTGGAGAATAATGTACTGATACCATGGACCCAGGATCTTCTCCATGGCCTGAGTTCTTTAAGCAGGTGGGCTATTTACTGAAGCAGAAACTGTGGAGAAATAACAAGGGGAACGGAAATTGGACATAATATTTTAGCTGAAAAGAAAAGTAAGTTGGTGAATTTTCCAGTTTTCAACAGTTTTTGCCTAAACTTTGAGCATTCATGGTTTACAAAATAAACCCCAAGGATGTATTTAAACAACAGACAGAGATACGTGATCCAACAGAAACGGCTTTGCACGGAGATTGTTCAGCGATTAAAGTCCTTTTAGTGAAGCCCCATATGCCGTGTATTTGATTTGTGCATTAGGCCATATGGGGCTTCTACGAAAAGAATTTTATCACTGGATAATCTCGATGTGATGCCCGTTTCTTCCTGCTGGATCCTATACTGAGCAACCCTGCGGGAAGCCAGAGTGAGTGCAGGGGGAGCCAGAGTGGGTGCAGGGGGCAGTTACTACTTCCTGAGTGAGTGCAGGGGGAGCCAGAGTGAGTGCAGGGGGCGGTTACTACTTCCTGAGTGAGTGCAGGGGCCAGTTACTACTTCCTGAGTGAGTGCAGGGGGAGCCAGAGTGAGTGCAGGGGGCAGTTACTACTTCCTGAGAGAGTGCACAGGGAGCCAGAGTGAGTGCAGGGGGAGCCAGAGTGAGTGCAGGGGGCGGTTACTACTTCCTGAGTGAGTCCAGGGGGCAGTTACTACTTCCTGAGTGAGTGCACGGGGCAGTTACTACTTCCTGAGTGAGTGCACGGGGCAGTTACTACTTCCTGAGTGAGTGCAGGGGGAGCCAGAGTGAGTGCAGGGGCGGTTACTACTTCCTGAGTGAGTGCAGGGGGCAGTTACTACTTCCTGAGTGAACGCAGGGGGAGCCAGAGTGAGTGCAGGGGGGAGTCGCTTAGTGCAGAATTTAGAAGACTGTGTAGCCATCACTACTCGCTCGGGTTCTAAAAGTGTTTTTCTAAAGGCCTAAATCAGCACAAGAAACCAGTTTAGCACAAATCAAATCCTTGAATCTGCAGATTGGGTAACCACAGCTGTAATCTGTATATTCCATCTGGGGTCCCTGCTCTTACAGAAAACCAGCTGAGATCATCGAAAATGTCGGAGTCACATAGAACTCTGCATCTGTTACAAATTACGGCTAATGTAGGACTGACTTTCCACAAACGCTCACTTTTTCCAGATCTTATTTGATACAGTTCATGCCTACAGGACAAATGAAAAACTATTTATTTTGTGCCAAGTAATCCCCCCACCCTCCCATGTCCAAGTAACACAATATGGCAAACATTCCTAAGTAGGTACATACCAGCGCTATGGAATTTGCTGGCGCTATATAAATAATAATAATAATACCAGTGACCATAATAAAGTTACTCTGTAAGGCCTGCAAATGCTAGTCTTGGCATGATAGCTGTGGTGGGCTATGTATCCAGTGGGGCTCTACAAGACCAAATGGATTAAGGGCCACAATTTCTGTCTAATTTGGACCCGTCCCTTTCCGGTTATTAAATGCTAGTCGAGAGTTTGCTGCACTAAGCATTAACTAGAACACTTTAAACCACTCAAATCCCCCTGATTGGTCATCTTGAAAACGTCCGGTTTTAACGGACGAAATGCGTTAATGAAACTGGCGGGATTGACTTTTTAAACCTGGTAGGAACCAATGCGGTAGGACAGAAGAGCATCTCTGCAACGCAATCAGTCCAAGTGCACAGGACTGATACATGGAGCAGCATTAAATCTTCCAACGGCGAGTACACCGCATTGTACTACTTCATATTTTGTGAAACTTAAAAATAAGTGTTCAATATAATTTCTTGTAAGAGTTTTTATATGGGGGTCTTTTTGCTTGGGAAATAAATGTGTAACTGTTTTACGCTATGTTAAGTATCTTTCTTGAATGTTGATACAAAGTAGTTGAGCAGATATAAAGACACGGAGTGAAAGAGGATCGGTTTCCCTTTACCAGCTTAAAACCTCACACAGCGTAGGAATATCCTTACATTAAGACTACTCATTTGGATATATCTCAACTCTGACACTTGCACTGGACATTGTAGAAGTATATTTTATCAGACTTTAGAGCATTTTTATCTCTGTCCCCATATTTATATATAAGGGATTGGTCTACCAAGTGCTGATACAGTTGTTTTATGCATTGTTTTTGAATTTTTAATACTTGGGAGGTATTTAAGTATCTGGCAGCTCTATAGTAGAGAATCCATATCTAAGTGTTTTTCTACTATCAATTGTAATTTTTGCGCTCGCTTATGATTTTATATTATTAACTAGAACACGTTGAAGATACCGGTTTGGAGTGCCACCAGTAGTTGGCGGTTATGTAAATGTGCATTCTATGAATCCAAGAAATAGTTGGCACACGGTTAGTCGCCGGCTTTGAATCTTCTGACATTCTTTAGAAATTCTTGGCAAGAAGCAGAAATTAAACACTTTCATATCCTGGTGGAAATAGTCTTGGCCCAGGTACACTATTGTTCCCAGGACTCTGAATTGCCTCCAATTAATATATTCAACAATATGACAATACTAGTTACTGTAATATTGGGGGTTCCCACTAAATTGAGAATTCTAGAGAACGAGCGAGGTATTTGGTCATTTTATACCAATATATGTCACCTGCAAACATTGGCGAATTGGAGCAATGATACAGTAGTACTGCTATTTTGTCCGTGATTTCCAAGTTTAGTGAATATACCCCCAAAATGTCTAATCTCCTATACGACAGGCATTTTTGCACAAACCCTTCTGTAACAGGACACAGTAATATGGATTCTACGCTTGGTATAATTCCTTCAAGCAAACTGGTCCAACAAAGATTACCGGGAGTCAATACGGAACATGCCAGTGGGATTCAGTAACGCTTATTTAAAGGGATTTGGGGCCTAACCTTCATGGGGACCCTGTAAGGTCTGTGTATTCTAAAGAGAGAGACAGTCAGGCCTCCTCAACAATCATTCTGTGACACTCTATGGATACAGTATTCCAATGGTTTCCAACATTCTCAATCTGCTTTCTAGACAGATACATTAACACGAAGAAACAAATACACTCATTTAGAAGGGCTGGTAAACTGCAGACACTTCCAACATCACACGCAGGGCGGGAGGAAAGTTATATCACAAGGGAATAAAATGAATGTGACAAACTTCACAGCTCACTAACCTTCGCTAATTGGTTTAGTGCATTAAAATAATTGCTATGACCATGTCAGGGTAAGTGATATGTCGACACCAATTAAACAAACCCAGAGTGAGTAATGCCAATAAACCCATTCTCCACTTCAGTAAACTTGTAATATAATTACAGTAACTAGGTTTAATATCCAGAGCCGGGTAATTCACAGCACTGCAGGCAGCCGGGAGCATGTCTAGTTAATATGCAGCGGATGGTTCCTGTATCCAAACCCATCCACACATATTCCATCGAGGCTCTGTAGAATGGAATGTGCTGTGAAACTGCTGATGTAGGAGCTGAAAGCAGCCATGGACTGGACTGCCTGTACCATCACTACACCCCAGGTTCTCCTGACTTCATTTCCATGCCTCTAGTACCTGTCAATCAGACAGCAGCTGGGGACTTTGGAATAAACTAGATTCAGTATAACAAACTTCGCTACTTCCGGACACTGGGTGCGTCCAGCGTTTCTCTATGAAAAGCATTGTATGGGCTGATTACAGCAATAGCCGCACATGCGCAGTGTGTTCCCAAACATTGTATTGGCTGATTACAGCAATAGCCGCACATGCGCAGTGTGTTCTCAAACACTGTATTGGCTGATTACAGCAATAGCCGCACATGCGCAGTGTGTTCTCAAACACTGTATGGGCTGATTACAGCAATAGTCGCACATGTGCAGTGTGTTCTCAAACATTGTATTGGACAATAGTCATCAGGATTGACGATTTCAGAGATGGCGGATCAGGTTGCTATAAGGAGTCTGACTTCGTGCGAGATTACAGGAAAGTTCAACTGTGAATTTGTTTATTTATTTTAAGTTGAGATTGTAAATCTTAATTGATTAAGGAAAACAGAGAGAGAGGAAAAAAAAAAAAAAAGTATTTTAAAAATTTTTTAATAGCGTGTTCCTTTAAGTATAAAACCGCTGATAATTCAGCCTTTTAACTGGAAACACTCCCAATAAAGGGCAAAAACAAAGAGAAATGGTTGGGTAAAAAAATGGAAACTATGGAGCCTACGCATTGTAGTGGTTATGGTGTCTATGGGCACTATCCTTATAAACCCATTTGGGAATGGACTGGCACTAAGTGGGGTTCTCCCAGGCACTGCCCCGTCTCCAGGTAATGTAGAATTCACACGCAGTTATAGGCTGGGAGCGCAGTGGGCACCATTACCACTACACGCAGCTATAAATAGTGATTGCTTGGTTAGAGAGTCCCTTTTATAATAATATGTCAATTTCCGAGCGTATTTACATCTTTCTATGTTGTTACAAATCATTACTAACTTAGTAACAGTAACACAATATGAATCCCTCTTCCAATTCACCCAAATATTCTGCTGGCTCACATTGAGCTGGTAACCCCAAAGATCCCTTTTATTCTCCTCTTGGCATCCGTAAAACTAATGTATGTACATTTAACTAATGTAATGTACATTTAACTAATGTATTCAGTCTTTGATGTCACAACTCGATGTATTCGAAAATCTCAATTTATTCTCTTCGGTAAAAAAAACACACTAAATGAATTGGGAGCATAAAAAAAAATAAATCACAAACTAAATTGGAGGCTATGAAATTCTGGCGTATGATTCGCTATATAACAAACATCAGATATATATTAACACGGCCGGGGAAAGATACAAAACATTAAAGGGTTAGTTTTGGAGGTTTAATTGGGTAGCAATTGGGGGGGTTACCTAGGGGTAACTATGGGGTCTTCTTGGGACTAGCTATGGGGGGGTTACCTAGGGGTAACTATGGGGGAGCTTCTTGGGGGTAGCTATGGGGGTTCCTGGGTAGTTATGGGGGGTTACCTAGGGGTAACTATGGGGGCTTCTGGGGTAGCTAGGGGGCTTCTTGGGGGTAGCTATGAGGGGCTTCTTGGGGGTAGTTATAGGGGGTTACCTAGGGGTAGATATGGGGGCTTCCTGGGGGTAGCTATGGGGGCTTCTTGGGTAGCTATGGGGGCTTCTTGGGGGGTAGCTATGGGGTTACCTAGGGATAGCTATGGGGGGCTTCTTGGGGGTAGCTATGGGGGGGTTAACGACTGCCCTAGATTCTTTAAGCTGTAAAACTCTTCATCCTTAGCTCGGTGACCTTGAAGTTAAATTCCCCACCATCAGCACTGCATATAATGGTTATTGGATACACTGCTGTCTTACCCCAACAAATGCAGTTAATGGGGTACCACATGGGCTCTGCGCCCCACACTATGAAGATGCAGTACTGACACTACACCCTTATAAACACCATTATGGTTTCACCACTGGAAACCCTTCAACATCTTGAAGTTATGTTTTTTGCCTTAAATTTTAAAACATTTTGTGAGCTCACCATTACTAGTCACCAAAACAGTTATTAACGCACAAGAGACTGAACGTGACATTCCTGATATACAGAGCCAGAGCGTGTTATAAACAAGATCACGTAGAAATAAAAAAGGGCCTTGACTAACTTACTAAAAAAAATACAGTTATCAAGTAGAAAATATTTTCTTGTCTGCCTTGTAGCAATCTGTATAAATATTCTTTAAAATGATGTTTTTTTAAGGAACAAGCCATAAGCCATACCGGATTCTAAGTGTGTTTTGATCCCCAGATGTTTCTCTGAAAACACTCTGTTTGGACTTAATGTATTTAAACACAAGCGACCAGAGAGGAAATTACTAACATTCTTGCGCAGTGAAACAGTATTCTCAGCGCTTAGTAATCCTGCAAACTTCACCCTGTGGCTAAAACTCAACAGTTGATGCAATAAACATTACATTGAAATACACAACTAAAAAAAAACACCAGAACTTGGAGGGATTTATAAAAAAAAAAAAAAAAAGGGACAGGAAATGGCTCCTAAACTCGCAGATTCATTCTCGGCACAAATTCAACTGCAGATGGCTACAGGGTTATTTGGAAACCAGTGATACAGAAAGAAAACAAAGAAAAATCTCAGGAAAATTTTAGATTTTGGTTGTTTTGTTTTTTTACTTAAAATTTGTTTTTTTAAACCACAAAGAAATGTCTTTAGGAATTTGTATCCAAAAAGTGGATTTTTCTAGTCATATATTTATAGAGGGTACTCGATCTACAATTCTGGTTTTCATTCTATTATTGAAAGATAACAACAAACAGAAGATGGAGAGTTTCTTAGAAACCGTGATAAACTTGTCCAGATCCCATCAGTTGTGAACAGTCATAAGTGACATGTAATTCTCGTGACGTGCGTGTGGCGTGATTATTATTTTATTATTTATATAGCGCCATCAGATTCCGTAGCGCTGTACAATGTGGGGTAATGTAAGATCCAAGTTAGGCTAGCTGTCCTAGGTACGACCTAATGCAAACACATTCCCAGGCGACAAAATGTAAACCAGAACACCAACCAAAAGCTGAAACCCGGATCAAAGACGGCTCATTCTTGAGTGAAGTCGCAGACCATGATGGAGAGATTGTTTACAGTATAAAGCCCCTGCTTTGCCTCACTTTCTCCAAACAGCTAAATCTCTGTGTAAACGTTACAGTAAAGAATCCAGTCTGTAATCTGTCGCCACCCACAGCGCCATTTCATAAAAAAACAGTCTTTATTTCATAAATAAAATAGCAAATAGAATAAATTATTTATTTCCCTCGGAATACTTTGTATGTAAAATATTTCAGGTGATAAAAACTACTAAAGCAAGTTAACAACTGATTGAAAATTAAGATTAGTTTTCATGCAGGCTGTCAGTCCCAGCCAGTGGAGGTGTGGCCAGGGCTGCATTAACAGAAACAAAAAGTGATTTAACTTCTAAATGGCAGTGAATTGTGCCGTGAGACTACAGGGACAAGATCCATACAACAAACTGCTTCATTAAACTAAAGTTGTTTTGATGCCTAAAATGTTCCTTTAAGGGAAATTTACAGTTATAATTATTTGTATAGCGCCAACATGTTCTGCAGTACCGTACAATAGGTAAAACAGGACACACAATGAATTATATTAATTATAATTTTATTAAATAACACTGTATACCTCCCAACCCTACAGCATGGGGTACACAGGGATGGGGTGTCAATGAGTAATCAGATCTAGGTATTTAGATATCTAGCGGGAACAAAGTATATTAAACAGGTTAAAACTACATTAGCTCTGTAAAATTAATCCCAATCACCCTTCACAGTCTGTGCAACACTACACAGCAAGAAAATTCACCCTCTAGTCTACAGCATTGCTGAGACTGGGATAATACACCAGCCGTGATGTCATACACCAGCCGTGATGTCATACACCAGCCCTGATGTCATACACCAGTTGAAGTAATAAAAGTCATGATGTAATGAAATCCACTTCTTTGTATGTGGTTTTCCAGTAAACAGAGCAGGTCGCACAACGTCTACATATAACCAGTGATATAAAAGGAGGGGGTTAGAATGGACTGTGATGCCCCCGTCTCACCTCCCCCCCATTCATCGCAGCCAGAGGCACACAGTATGTTCATCAGTGGATGCTCTGTGCTGTCAGTATACTATTCCAACAGACTGTGTATTACAACATGTTAAAGGATACAAGTGGCAAGATTATAAACCTGACTCTGTATTACAGCATGCTAGGAGAGAGCAGAGAGCCTGACTCTGTATTAGAGCACATTACAGGACAGGCTGACTCTGTATTACAGAACAGGCTGACTCAGTATTAGAGCACATTACAGGACAGGCTGACTCTGTATTACAGTACATTACAGGAGAGGCTCTGCATTACAGCACATTGTAGGACAGGCTGACTGTATTAGAGCACATTACAGGACAGGCTGACTGTATTAGAGCACATTACAGGACAGGCTGACTCTGTATTAGAGCACATTACAGGACAGGCTGACTCTGTATTAGAGCACATTATAGGACAGGCTGACTCTGTATTAGAGCACATTATAGGACAGGCTGACTGTATTAGAGCACATTACAGGACAGGCTGACTGTATTAGAGCACATTACAGGACAGGCTGACTCGGTATTAGAGCACATTACAGGACAGGCTGACTCGGTATTAGAGCACATTACAGGACAGGCTGACTCGGTATTAGAGCACATTACAGGACAGGCTGACTCTGTATTAGAGCACATTACAGGACAGGCTGACTCGGTATTAGAGCACATTATAGGACAGGCTGACTCGGTATTAGAGCACATTATAGGACAGGCTGACTCTGTATTACAGCACATTATAGGACAGGCTGACTCTGTATTACAGCACATTACAGGACAGGCTGACTCTGTATTACAGCACATTATAGGACAGGCTGACTGTATTAGAGCACATTACAGGACAGGCTGACTGTATTAGAGCACATTACAGGACAGGCTGACTGTATTACAGCACATTATAGGACAGGCTGACTGTATTAGAGCACATTACAGGACAGGCTGACTCGGTATTAGAGCACATTACAGGACAGGCTGACTCGGTATTAGAGCACATTACAGGACAGGCTGACTCTGTATTACAGCACATTATAGGACAGGCTGACTGTATTAGAGCACATTACAGGACAGGCTGACTCTGTATTACAGCACATTATAGGACAGGCTGACTCTGTATTACAGCACATTACAGGACAGGCTGACTCTGTATTACAGCACATTATAGGACAGGCTGACTCTGTATTACAGCACATTATAGGACAGGCTGACTCTGTATTACAGCACATTATAGGACAGGCTGACTCTGTATTACAGCACATTATAGGACAGGCTGACTCTGTATTACAGCACATTATAGGACAGGCTGACTGTATTAGAGCACATTGTACAGGACAGGCTGACTCTGTATTACAGCACATTATAGGACAGGCTGACTCTGTATTACAGCACATTATAGGACAGGCTGACTCTGTATTACAGCACATTACAGGACAGGCTGACTCTGACTCTGTATTACAGCACATTATAGGACAGGCTGACTGTATTAGAGCACATTACAGGACAGGCTGACTCTGTATTACAGCAGGCTGACTCTGTATTAGAGCACAGGCTGACTGTATTAGAGCACATTACAGGACAGGCTGACTCTGTATTACAGCACATTATAGGACAGGCTGACTGTATTACAGCACATGGACAGGCTGACTCTGTATTACAGCACATTATAGGACAGGCTGACTCTGTATTACAGCACATTATAGGACAGGCTGACTCTGTATTACAGCATGCTAGAGGAGACCCCCAGCTGTCTCCCAGACATCCCATGTTTTGCTGACTTGCTGAGAGTTAGTTGATCCCTGGGAGACTTGCAGGGAATTGGAACTTCAGAAATCCCCGAAAATGGTAAATTCCTGAGCCATACAGCAGGACAGACAGCAAAACCTGTTTAAAACCTGTTTAAAATCGGTTTAAAAAGCATTCGGTGATAAGAATCAGTGTGCCCCCCCACCCCCAGCATCACACATTAAATACTCACTGGATTCCTTGCTGCAGCAGATTGGGGGGCTCACACTCTCCAGGTCCCCCAGCAGGATCTCCCAAAGTTCAGCAATCCCCAGCCTGTCAGTCCCTGTGTCTGAGAGCTCAGTGAGCCCTGCTCTGTGTGGAGCTCTGATCTGCTCCATCCCACTGCCCTCCCTCCAAACTGGAGCTCTGGAATGAAGACAGGAGGTTTTTTTTTTCCCATTTCAAAAAATGCTTTATTGATAAACAACAGGAGGAGTAAGTTCACACTGTTTGAAGATATTGTTACATTTAGCAACATTAAACAGTGTGTTAGTAAATAGGAGAGCAACTAAGTAACTATTCTACACGCGCTACTTTAATAAGAGGTACATCACATTAGTGCTTGGATGTACAGTATGGAGTTTGTATGGGGTGATAGGCACTGAATGGGTTAAATGTGCTACTAAAAATAAGCCAACTTAGATCTAATGTTAATTCTAAAGGTAATAAGGGTAAATATGATAAACCTTCCTAATATTTAAAACATAGAATATCCTGAAATGTTTTACTGAAGTTACAATGCAAATATATAATATGATATAATGGAAGGTTCAGCTGTAAAGTAGGATAATAAAATATCTCTTCAGCCAAGCCCACATGGGCAAAATACACAGCATTGGTGGGTCACTTCCTATGACACTCAGCCAGCCCTTACAAACAATGTCTGCCCTGGACTGTCACATGGCGGTCCCCTGGTTCTGGGTGCAAGAGCTGTTCGCATCTGTCATCAGACAAAAACATATAGATTGTTCTTTTAAAATTAAATTATTAGGTGTATTATTGTGTAGTGTATCCCTTTAATATCACTGCTGTCTGCAGGACACATTGCTAGAAGTATCTTATCTGAAAATCTCCCCTTGTTTCCTGAATAGGCCCAACCATTGTACAGCGCTACGGAATTTACTGACGCTATAGAAATAATAAAATAATAATAATAATAATATGGTAACCCTCACTGGAACCAACAGGTTCAGAGAATACAATAAAATACAGTTTAAAGAAGCGCTATATATATACACACACACACACACACACACTGTATATACGTATATCATGACGTATTGCAAGATACATTGTTTTCAGCTAATAGCAGGCGCAGGGAATGTGTGCTGGAGAAATCATGGGCACAGGAAAGTATTTATTCCCAGTGGATCTATTTAATGCTGGAACAAAGCCTCCCCTTCTTTTAACGCCTTACCCAAACAAACAAAGAATTCTGCTCATATCAAGGAGCCTTTCATACTGCACTTACTGAGTGTCCCACACACAAGGAGACCAAGTGCACAACAGGCTGACAATTCTACAGAATGGTTGATATAATATTAACCCCTCGCATGGAACGCTTTAAACAGAATGGTTTATATATTAACCCCTCGTATGGAACGCTTTAAACAGAATGGTTTATATAAGATTAACCCCTCGTATGGAACGCTTTAAACAGAATGGTTTATATAATATTAACCCCTCGCATGGAACGCTTTAAACAGAATGGTTTATATAATATTAACCCCTCGCATGGAACGCTTTAAACAGAATGGTTTATAGAACATTAACCCCTCGTATGGAACGCTTTAAACAGAATGGTTTATTTAAGATTAACCCTTTGTATGGAACGCTTTAAACAGAATGGTTTATATAATATTAACCCCCCATATGGAACGCTTTAAACAGAATGGTTTATATAATATTAACCCCTCGTATGGAGCACTTTATAAAGAATGGTCTCTAAATCCCGTATAGTACATTTTACAATAATCAAAGTATATAACAAGAATGCTATATTTACCATTTCACCAAAGTTCATGTCTTTCTTTTTTTTTCTCGCTGTAACCCATACGCAGTGACCCATTATACCCATTGCTCTCCATTCGCTGTCACCCATAGGCAGTGACCTATCGTACCCATTGCTCTCCATTCCCCATGACCTATAGGCAGTGACCTATCATAACCCTTGCTCTCCATTCGCTGTAACCCATAGGCAGTGACCTCTCATACCCATTGCTCTCCATTCGCTGTAACCCATAGGCAGTGACCTATCATAACCCTTGCTCTCCATTCGCTGTAACCCATAGGCAGTGACCTATCATAACCCTTGCTCTCCATTCGCTGTAACCCATAGGCAGTGACCTCTCATACCCATTGCTCTCCATTCGCTGTAACCCATAGGCAGTGACCTCTCATACCCATTACTCTACCAGCACCATGTTGAATTTGGAGCCTTCCTCTTAATCCAACCTCTAGTGTCTCACTAACACTCGCTAGGGATGCTTCTGCGACGCTGAATGTGAAATTAGCATCCAGCGTGCAGAACCTTCAATATTAAAACATTGCGTAATGCTTTCCTATGGGCGTTTTTAATGCGTGCGCGGCTCTGGTCTCGCATGCGCATTTGGATCCACTCAGGAGCTGACATCGGAGGGGGAGGAGAGGATTAAGGTAAGCTGCTGAAAGGGGATTTAGGGGTGGGGGGTCCCAAGGATGATAGTGTCAGGAAAACGAGTTTGTTTTCCTGGCACTATAGTGGTCCTTTAAATTATCATCACGCTGGTTTTGCTTTATAGCTGGGTGACATTGTTTAATAATGTATTAATAGGAGCCCCTTCTACCCATGTTAGAACACAATAAATAAAACGCTGGTAATTACATTCAGGAGAGGGCAGAGGCTGAAGTGCCCGTGGGTGAGTTTTTGGCCCAGACCTGCTTCCATCTCATACTAATTAGCATAATTCAGCTGAGCAGAAACCCAAGATAAGAGATATGTTCTGATACTCTGTAAATATGACACTGTATAGATTTACTTAGGAAGCATTACATTTACACTCCCAGTAATAATATAGTTTCAGGAAGTGCAGTACGGTGAGGGTCAGAGGCAGCTGAAGGTAGACCCCAGCTATTGTAAAACTACATCTCCCATCATGCATTTCTGTTATGAATTGCAAAGCATCATGGATTATGTAGCAGGAATAGGCAACCTTCGGCAATCCAGATGTTGTGGACATAATGCTCTAACACCCATAATGCTGGCAAAGTAGTCCAAAACATCTGGAGTGCCAAAGGTTGCCTATGCCTGATGTAGAGCATCATGGGTGATGTAGTCCTCCAACGCCTGCAGATTTCCCTTTGGTCTCTCCTGATTATTGCAGTGTATTCCAGTCATGTTATCTCTTATTATAAACGTGGATCGTTAAGGGATACGCTGAATCTTGAATGTAATTTTCTTCACATCAGTCAGTTTTGACAATAATGTTTTAATAAAAGGTACAGTAATCCCAACAGATTAACATAACATTCCAAGCACCATAACCACTACTGTGTCCTGCTCCCCATCTCCACTGCACAGTAACTGTTCTTTCTAAGCTTTAAAAGAAAAAAGTAAATGTTGATATTTTTTAAATTAATTTTCCTCATATTTTTGTTTCTAAATAAACCTTCTGCAGAGCAGTTTGTTTTTTCCCCTACGCGTTTTCATTTAATAATATTTTCTCAGTGGGGATTAGAATTACTAAGCAGAGTTTAGCAAGCACTCTGCCACATGGGCATAATTGCTCACAACACAGCCTCTCCTGAATAACGAGCAACAACAATTAAGGATTTTTAATTTTTTTAGACATAGTATTTTAGTTTTATTTCTCGCCGTTCGGTGAGAGGTTAAAATATTTGGTAAAATTTGCATAAACCTCAATATTCATTAGCGAGAACTCCAAATTATTATGATGTGAAATCCTAAAGCATCCATAAGAATTTTCATCCTTCCACATGATTAATTCAATAATAACGTCCTCTAATTAGGATAAGCGCGTTGTTTTAATCAAGGGGGTTTTAATAGCGAGCTTAATTAGAGGTGCAATCAATAAGATGAAAACAGACACACGTAGCTTCCATTTTACCCCTTTCCCAGTCCATGGAAGACTATCCGGGTAATTCACTGCTAAAATACAAATCCTGGGATTTGGGTCCAAAACAGGGACTGTCCCTCCTAAATTAGGACACTTGGGAGGTATGAAACGCCACATGCCTGTAGCCTGATCATCCCTTTCTACATAAACTTAACTTAAGCCCTTTCAAAACTTAAACACACTCTTTTGCCTTAATCCTAGACTTAACTCTTCTTCAAAACTAAATTGACCCCATTCTAATCTAAGCACCCCGGACCCAAATACTAAATGTAACCCCTCTATACCAGTAAACCCAATAATCCTAAACACACCTTATACCACAACTCTAACTCCACTCAACTTTAACGTTTTCTTAACACTAATCACCCTAACTCACCCATTACCATTATCCCCCCTCTACTATAACCACTTCTAACATTATCGTTAACCCTTTTACTCAGCCGCAGACACTCGCTATACTCATAGATACAAACACAATACACACGTTTACATTTATACATATTCACTTATCCTTATCCTTCACTGCCCAATTAATTCATTCACAAGACTCACTTTGTCTGCCTTTTTTTGGAGGTGGGAGCAGGGAGCCCTTAGTATTCTGTGCCTGCAGATACCTGACATGTAAAGAGGAATGGGGGGATGTGTGGCTCCAAATGACTACATACCCAGATCCACACCGTTCTCTACCTATCCTTCGCCCTTTCCAGTTACCATGTTATTTAGGTGAAGTGGTCATGGTGCCTAGAGTACACCTTTAAGTTTCCATTATTTATCACCCCCCTCCCCTCACCCATTCAGGTTACTTTGTTTATGATTCTATGGTGCAGTAACTGGCTCTTTCATTAAAAATCCCCAATATATTTCCTAAGAAGACACCTATGTGGAATTCGAGAGGAATAAATGCTTTCAGCAGATGTAACCTAGAAAAAGTGAGAACAAAAAGGGATTCTTCCATTTTCGGACATCAAAACCATGTGTTTTCTTTGGCAAATCTATGCAACTATTGAGCCATAATATAGAACATGTTCCACAGTTTCAGATTGCAAAACGGCTCTCTTACTTGGAGGGGAGGGGGGTTACCATCTGACTTCACAATATTATAAACTGCATTTATCATGTGTAGGGTAGCTGTTTTAGCTGTTAGTGGTGCTAGATGCCTCCATTTACGTTCTGTGCAGTGAATTAAAGTGTTGTCCATAATATGTAGCATTCATATGCTATATCACTAATCAAGGTGGTTGCTTTAG